TCTTTACCAATTAGACAGAATAATCTATTAAAGTGTAATATATGTGACCGTCATATAGGATGTCGTAAATCTAGAGTAAAATGCTGTCATGGTAAATTTTTCAATTTTTTATTTAAGAATTGTTAAAATAACAAACAATGGGAAAGTCGAAAGCATAGTTATACGAGTTAAACAAAAGTTATCTTATGTTTTTTTCTATTATTCTTGATTAATAAAAAATGTTTTAAATCCCACTGGATCATCCCTTCCTTATAATAATTCTGTTAACCTTCTGGTTTCAGCTCCGATCACTCGACAAATTGCCATATTTCTCTATTAGAATTGCTGGCTAATTTCTACTTTTTCCTATTTCTCATTCATCCTCCAGAGGGCTATTCTATTAGAGTGGGCCATTCTATTGGAGGGGCCATTCTAATAGAGGAAATACGGTAAATAAAATTAAGGATGTTGTTCATTAAGAGCTTTAATTAATTCTATAATAAATTAAGCTTGCCGAATGTTTTTCCGTCGAACAGTACGTGGATTAAGAGCTTATAAATGCAAACATGAAGGAAATTGTGAAATTACTAAAGGTGGAAATTAATTAAATTTTGATCAAATAATTTTTCAAAAATTATTTTAAAAATTATTTAAGGCTCAAAATGTCGTTTTTGTCGAGTAAAAGCATGCCTTATAGCTAAAATGGATGTTAAACATAAATTGTCTAAAACTATAAACTCATCGGCTTTAGAAAAATGGATGGAGAGTTATAAATTAAAAAATGAATTTGTAATTGAAGAAAAATATCAGCCTAATTATAATGTAATTATTAATTTTTATTGTAAAGTATAGGTCTGCATTTAAAAATCTCTGTTGAATAAGAAAGTCGAATCCGGATAAAATGCATTAAGAGACCGACAGATAAATGTTTGGCTTTAAAGAAATTATTTAAAAAAGTGACCTTATAAAATTTTTTGAAAGTTAATGACTTCTTTTTCCGAATACTAAATTGAAAGCTCAATAAAATGCCCCTTAAGGCGTTTAGGAAGATTGACGGCCAGTATCTCTTTATGAAATTTTTTCTGAAAAATAAATTTATGGCTATCTTATAGCGAATTTTAAGGGCTTTCGAATACGCCCAAACTAAAAATTCCTAAATTTAAATAAATAAAAATTCAAATCGTCCTCATTGAAGTTTAAATTTTAGTTTCCTCAATTATTGCCAACTAGTAATATGGAAAAAATTAACGTTGATTTGGAAATGTTGTTATCAACAGAAAATAAGGCTTTAAAATTACGTCAATCTCCAAATAATTTATTATTAGAATATTTATTTACAAAAAGTTTGGAAAATTTAATTGAAAGTAAAACGAATGTATTGGATTTTATTGAACTTTTTGGAATGGTAGAAAATAAAATTTTTTTTTAATTTTCAAAATTATTATTTTAAGAATGGCAAACAGTTGATTATAAATGAAAATTTATTCAAAGAAGGAAAAAATCTCCCAACTATTGGAAATTATCAAAATTTGGATTTTCTTTTGGAAGTTGAAATTATGAGGAAATTACCCATTTTTGATAAAATTCCCTTTGAAGATAAGGTAAAGACTTGTAATTTTTTTTAAATTTTGATCAACCTTTTCAATTTCTAGAATGATTTAAATATTAAAATTTAAAGATTTGTCTCTTCCGCTCAAATATCCATCGTCTAGTAACTCTTTCAAATTGCTTTCAATCTGTACAAATGGGAGAATCATCAGTTACATATCCAAATGGATTGTGTCCTGGTGATTTTTGTAAAAATTTGTTTGAAAAAATGTTCACTGGAGACGATTTAAAGAGGTAATTTTCTATAATTTCTATTTAAATCTAATTTATAGATATCAAGTTTTGAGAAGACGAGCATTTACTGATATAATATCAGAATTTAAGCCCTATAATCTAACACAACAAGAATATGTTTTACTCAAAACAATATTATTTTGTAATTCAATACCAGAAAATATCAGCCAAAATTCCAAAAATTTATTAAAATTAGAGGCAGAACGTTATGGACAAATATTAATGAAATATTTACAAAATTTATTGGGGAATTTTAAAGGAGCAATGAGACATGCAGACTGTCTATTATTTATTGGGAAAATATTTGAATATAATATGCAACAAAATATATTTTATAAAATGGTTGACGAAAAAATATTTTATAATAATCAAAGAAGTTCTGGATTAATTATGGAAAGACCAATATTTGTTGAACAATGCTTATTTAAATTTCCAAACTAATTTCCAAATTTGTCTTAAAACATACATTATAGCAGGGATCCCGACGTTATTTTTTGTGCCTTAATATTTTTTAAATAATTTATTTATTATACATATTTCTTGCAATACTAATTTGTATTGTCTCCAAAATTACATTTATTTATTTTGATTTATTGTGATTATTTTTGAACTAATTATTATAAAATATTAAATAAAAATATCGGAAAGAAAATAAATTTATTTAAAAATAAGAACTTTATTCAGTAACACTCTTACAATTAAATTTTTTATAAAGGAGCAAAAATTAAAAAATAATTAATGCTTTTCCCATCAATTCTTGTTGAACGAATTTGAACGTAAAAGTGAAATTTGCTCAATCAAAATAGTGTTACTTTTTAGACAGCAAAAAAGTTTTATTTTCATTAAAAGTATTTTTATCAATAAAACTTGATTATAAATTAACATTTGTTAAATTAGTAAAGTTTTGCTATTTATAAAGGCTTCATAAACTAGGAAATTCTACTGAAATTATACCTTAACTCTATTATTTATTAATAAAATTGCCTAACTATGAATGCTTCGATTAAGCTTTTTTTCTTACTTATACTTTTCAATATTATTCTAAATTCATGCTGTTCTTCTTCGAATAAGAAGTAGGCTTTTAACTTTTTAAATTCTTTAATTTATGTTAGCCTTATAAATTTTTGATGGGTCTGGTCTTGGTCTTGTGTCTTGAGCCACGGAAAATTCTCGGTCTATTACAGTGAATGATACCGAAGCGACCATCCCCTGAGTGTACATTGAACTAATTCAAAAAAATTAAGAGTGCTTCGATCTAGACGTTATGATTATTCGAATTGGCATTGCTGTCATTATTCATATATGCCAGCTGCAAGTTCTTTTACTACTGGCGGTGGTGGTGGGGGATTTAATGGAAATGGCGGAGGTGGAATTCAATCAGTTGTGAATGTTTCTCCTTATGGAGGTATTTCAACTACTTTTACTGCTGGTGGAGGAGGAGGAGGAAGTGGAGCAGGATTTCAAAGGGTAACAGGTCCTGGAGGTACTGTGGTAGTTGCAGCCGGTGGAGGAGGTGTTGGAAATGGTTATGGCTATGGATACGCATGGGGAAGGAGAATATGAATTATTTTTTCTTGGCATTTTTATTTGTTTAACATAAAAAAACAACATTTTTTTATCATAAAAATCCAAACAATCTTCTTTCATTCGGAGTCATAGCCGTCTTTAAGCAATGTAACTTTTTTCAATACATGATCACCTCCATAAAGAACTGCTGATAAATTTCTCAGATCTTTTTCAGCATGATGTATGTACTCATAAGATTTTCCGTAGGGATTTGAAATTACAACCTAAAAATTCACATTTTAAGATATATATTGTTATTTAAGTACCTTAATCGTATTGTTTTGCAATGCAAAGAAATCAAGTTTAAAATTGTTGTCGGTTTTAAATTCAATAACATCGAATCCTGGTGTGACATAGATCTATAAATTAACATAGTTAATAGAGGAATTTAAGAATTCAACCGTTCATTAAATAAAAGTAATGGCTTAAACTTTTCTAGCCCTTCCTTGCTTTAAATTTTAATAATATTTTAAAAATTATTATCGTTGATAATTAATATATATATATTTAATTATCTTACGTATTCCAATGTGCTGAATTGAAGATAAAAGTATCCCTCTTCAGATCCCCACTCGTTCGAACCAAACAGAGCAATTAAAAAATACTTGTTGTGCTTTTCAATTTCGATTTCAATATGTTTTGGAGGGAGAAAGCCGATACCATAACAATCACCAAAAGAAACTCTTTCATATTTCTATTTAGTTATTGAATTTAAAAATTTTAATAAAAATTTTCTAACCAAATTCCTATATACAAATGGTGTACCGTCTGGTGGGCAAGTTGGGGAAGGGGTTGGAGGAGTATTATGCTTTTCATGATCATCGGTTGATGAGTAAAAGAACAATGAAAAAAATAAAATGGATGGAATTACAAAATACATCAAGAAAATATTTAAATTATTCTTGATTTCTGATTTTAAGGGTAAAATGAATTTTAAAAATTATATGAAGCTTTGGAAAACTTTATCAATATTTATCAAATATATATTGATAATCAACTTATCAATATATATATAATTATTTTCTCAATTATTTTATTTTGTCAACAAAACATCATTCCACGTAGCTCTAAACGTTTTATTCTTAAACTAAATTTACATCCTCCTTAGGAGTTGTAATTATAAAGAATCAAATAAATATTTATGTAAACATTCTTTATTTTTGAATATAGTAATGATATCATTAAATAAATGTCTAAATTTTTATGGGAGAAAAAAAAACTAAAAAATATTTATCATAAAATATAATTTTAAATTATAATCCAAAAGGGAAATAAAAAGGATTTTTAAGTTTTATCTGCTAAGATTATATGAAGCATATAGCTATTAAATTCCTAAAGCTATGCAGTAAGCGGCGTGGTGATTTAAAATATTTTGAGTAACCATGATCAGAAACTGAAGCTCTCGAGAGCTATTCTAATGTTTAGTAAAAGAAAGTCTAGACAATTTTTTTAATTTAACAAACATAAAATAAATATTATAGGTCATTATTATGTAATTTATTTCGCAATCAGACTCGATAATTATTTCTTTATATTTATTTTATATGTATACATATTTTTAATTTTTGCCTTATAAAATAATTTATTTAATTTTTCCGAATAAAATTTAGCTAATGACATTCAGCAGGATTGTTTGTAAGTCTTTTTTTATTAGAATTCTTGTTAATTAAATATTAGTGCCTATAAATTATCTTCAATTCGTTCAAAGGGGGATTTTTATGGAGGGGATAAACGAAAGATAGAGACTAAAATAGCGCCTACTAAAATATGTAATTTCAGTCCTACAAATCATTCTACATTATCCATTAGTTAATGCTTTAATCCGTTCGACATTTCTTGATGATATTCCAAAGCCCGAGAGAAAAAAGTATGAAGAAATAAAAAAGACAGAATTTAAACATAATATAAGTATTTTGTCAACTGAAGCTAAAGTAGCTTTAATTTCTTCACTTTCCGTAAAGCAAAGTTTAGAAAAAAATGTTGAAAAAGCTTTAGATAAATTTAACTTTAATAATAAACTTGTTGATAAAATAGTTGAAAGAATTGAAAGTTTGGCACATTTGATAGGGGAAGAAAATGGAATGTCATTTGATGATTTTACTGATAAAATTGGAAATAAATTGGAAAATTTTCATACGTACGGGTTTAAATTCATCAAAAAAAGTTTTGAAGAAATAAAGAATGAAGTTGAGGTATCCGAAATACTTTTTTATCCGAAATACTTTTTTCAAATTTAAGGAAACAAATTACACATCAAAAACAAAAGTATTTCATTTCTTCTATTTATGGATTTGGAATTTAATTGAATTCCTGGACAAAATTAAATTTTTGGACGAAGATATTGATAAAAGAATGTCATTTGTTGAAAAGCATGACATTTTTGCTTGTCTTCCTGGCTATATTTCTGACATGACTTTTGCTGATTGGTTACAAAATAATGTTATTCGTGTACTTGAGCTAAAGTTTTATCCACATGTAAGAAGGAAATATAAGACAATTTCGATTTTATTTAGGATCATTTATAGAAAAAATAAATTAGGAAGGTTGAGTTACCGTTCGACTTTTGTCTATACTTAAGTATTTTAATGATATTTTATCTTGAAAATTTTTTAGATAAAGTTTAACAACATTAATCAGGCCAAATATATCGTAAAAACAAGTGTCATCAATTTATTACCGGTTGCAAACAAAAAAGCAACTTCCTATATAGAAGTTTTACAGCTTGATAAAATATTTAAATTTAATAATAAAAACAATAATTTGGAGCAAAAAGAAATAATTTTAATTTTTGCTTCAGTTATGTTAATAGCTAAAAATATATGTTTAAACTATTCAGAAAAGTTTAAAGTATTTGAATTATTTGAAAAAGAATTTTTAAATTTTGTTGCAATATCGGAATATTTAAAAGAAGAGTATGAAAGAATTTTGGAAATTTTGAAGGAGTATTTTATTGAAAAAGTGCGAATAGATTCTAAACAATTGGAAATTAAAGTTATCAATTTTTATATTAAAGTTTTTGAAAAATATCAATTGTTGGAGTGGGTTAAAGTGTTAATTGATGAATTAAATAATGAAGTTACATCGCTAAATAGCACAGGTATAGTTATTTAATTTGAGAGCAGAGCTGTGCGTTATGGCACAGCTCTGCTCTACCACATGCAAGGCTACATGAACCTAACCCAGGATTAAGCAGTTGTCTGAAACGGCCATGAAAACTGCAATTAAAAAGTGAATTTCAGGTAAAGGAAGGCGAAGAAGTAAAATCGTGAATGTCAATCGTAAAGAAGATTTGTACATAGATGATCCATCTTGGGAATTTATTGATGTAAATGGCTATTAAAAATTATTTAGTATTTCTGTCAAAATTTTATATTATGGGATTTAAATTTTTATTTTTTCATTACAAATATTTTTTAATTTTTCCTATTTTTGCTTCCTTTTTTTAAATTTATTTATTAGCTTTTCTATATTTTAATTAAAAGTAAATAAAAAAGTATTGAATTTAATCCTACTAAAATATTTCACTTACACTTGATTAAAAGAAACAAACACAAAAGCTATAATAAAAACACTTGAAAATTAAGTATATGGCAAAATAAACTTGAAGAACTCTTGAAAATTCTTATCTAAAATTTTTATAATTCCAGTAAAATTAAAATCATCAGTATCAAGTTGTTTATATAAATTCATATTTAACATGTTCTAATAAATCCCTGGCGAGTTTAAGCTCGCGGTACGTTGGCCTGCTCCTGTCCCTGGCAATAACCCTGATGATTCTATTAATTTAAATTAATTTTATATATTCCAGAATTATTCTACTAAAAAATAAAATAATATCAAAATGGGCATTTTAGGCCCCTGGTTCTTAAACTTATTAATTTCTGTGTGCTTCACATCAATCAGTGTATTTCTATTCATAAAAACTGATTTTGAATTTATGATCTATTATGACTTGGTTTGCTATAACTTTTGGGCAGCTAATTAGAAATAATTTTCAGTTAACTATTATTTTAATGATTCTCTCAATTGTATTAATTATGGATTTTCTACGCAGAATGAGTTTTGGACTTTTACCAAAATTAAGTAGTCCATTAGTTATCCCTCATCCAACATATATTTGTACACTTGTCCTTACTTTGACTGTTACATTGGGTTACGGCTATATTTTTGTAAGTTTATTCTTTTATCAATTTGAAGCATGACTATCTTGAAATACTAACAAAATTTTAGGTTTATAAATTAGCTCTATATGGTTGTGATAGGGCTGTAGAGGCAAGAGATCCATTACAAATGACTTTAGATTCAATATTAAGATTAACAATAGCCTTATATTCTCTGGTTTCCTTCATCTATATAATACAGCGGTTTGGATTTCTAAATGGATTTTAAAATTAAATTTTAAAGAGCTCATGTTGGCTCAGTTAAAACAAAAATTGATTTACTTACTAGAAATTTTATCAACTGTGTTTTTGGCATTATTTGGATGCGTTTTGTTATGTTAAAGGCTTATTTTACTATCGAACAATTCTGTCGTGATCAAATTGAAATGATGTCGATTGTTAAAGCCTTTTGCCCTCCGTATATGTAAGTTTAAATATCCGCAATTTTTCGGTTCCAAAAATCGAAAGCTGTTTCCAGACAAATCCATGGGTCATGGATCGGAAACCGTTGTTATGACCTTTAAAATTTTCTTACATTAGAAAGAAAGGCTTCAATTGCACAACTGTATCTCTACGTAAGGAGCAAATGATATGGTACAGAGTTCATTATGGACTTCTCAAATCTGTTGTAGTTACGGCCGCTTCAGAATTTATTCCTGTGCTTTTAGTTGCTCATTGGTATTTTGAACTAATTTTCATTAAAAATTTGAAATTTTATGTTGGCATGTGGTAGAGCTGAATTGGTAGTGCGCAAAATGACTGTCAAAATTAATGTAAAATTTATTTTTTATGGAGGGTAAAAATAATTTCGAATATTATAAGATTAAGCTTAAATTTTTAACTCTGGTCTACATATATTCATGTCTTCTAAATAAAGATTATAGCGCTCTCTTTATTAGAGACTTTCGGATACAAGGATCTGAACAATTGTAGATCTATCTTTAAGCCTTCAAAATATATTTGTTAATAATTTAATTTCAAGACACTTAATGCAATCAAGAAATTTTCTTTGAAGAAATTCTCTACAGTAACTGGTAGGGCATATATTTGCCAGTGTTATTCATTAAACTTTAATTAAATTTTTCAAAATTAGATTCAAATACAACATCTACTAACGAATTTCTTTTTCTAAAAAACCCCCTGATTCAAAGAATATTTCGTTTATTAGCTCTATGTTTGGGCTTTACTGGGATATCTCTTTGTATGCTCTCTTTTTTTAATTATGTAAATGATTTGGATGAAAGCCCACAAGTTTTTACTCAAGATGCTGTGGAAGTTTTTCTTTCAATAATGAAGCTTTGTTTCTTTATTTTGGTATAATTATTTTAAAGAAATTTTGAAATTTATTCTTAAAAATGTGTACAAGGGCCGAGGGGAAGGATTCAGGATTAGTCCCCAACCTGTGTCCAAACAAAAATAAGGCTCAATTTGTGCCAGTATATTGGATATAGGAATTTTTGTGGGGAAATGTTAAATCCAATAACTTGATTTACAAAACACGAAAGTTCTGTTTAAATTCAAATAATTTTAATTGATAGCTATTTACATGGATACGCCGAATTCCTCCTCGATTACTTGATTTGCATAGACAAGCTGAATCTCGTGGTGATAAAGTATTAATACTTGGTTCTGTTCTATTTCTTACAGCTGAATGTATATGTGAAATTATGGAATTACTTTTCTTTTCTTTCCGAAATAAACGTGTTTATCTGGCAATTAAAATTCTTGATATTCTGTATAGTGTTAATAATTTGGTTGGTTTTTAATTCTCGATTATATAGAGAGTAAGAAGTTCTCAAAAACGGCATAAAGCTTGTCTAAACCATGCATGCCATATTTTAATTAAATTTTCAGGCCTCTAATTTCCTTGAAGCTTTCTGCCTAATGAAATTAATTGCACTTAAAGATAACTTCCTCAAAGAATTAAGTGCCATTCTTCCATTTATTGCAACTTGTTGCACAATACTTAATTTGACAGATTTTGCAATGACTTATTTCTATATCGAAACGGAAAAGCATCATTTAAAAGTACTTTTTGAATACCTAACATTAATCATTGCTTTATTAGGGTATAATCGAGAGTCTTGAATCTAGCGAGTTTTTTGTGCTAGTTGGAGTTATTGGAAGGCTATTGGATACAGCCAATTATTTATACACATTCACTTGTGCCCTTTGTTGGATAGACATAATTATCCGGTTACCTAAATTAAGATTTTTAATAATTTTCTAAAATTTTCAAAAATTCAGTTATCGCCATTTTGGACTCTTTATATTAGGCAACAAACCAAAAACTAATTTAGAAAGGACGAATTATGCATCTGATGGCGAAGAATCAGAAACTCAATGCTAATTTCTTCTAATTTTAAATGTCGTATAAGCTCAAATAATTACCTAAGGCAATTACTATTGTGGGGAGTGTAAATTAAGTAATAATAGGGACTTCAATGATTTGGCACTATATATATTATTATCGATATGTAGATTTATCATCTTATATTAAAAATTATTTGAGAATATACATATTGTAGATTGGTTAATTAGACTTTCTAAATAAATTTAAATCCTGAAAAAGAAAGTTTTTTAAAAATTAAAACCTAAAAATTAATTCACTTTGTTTGCTCTAATAAGCTGTCAGGAGGTTTTTTTGGCTCACATGCCAAATTTCAAACTATATATGAAAGTTTGTTTGCGTTTTGTTGGAGGTGATATTTTATTACCAAAATTAGAAATTTCATAGTTTGTAAAAAATCAAAAGTCATCTGAATTTGGTAAAATCCATTATCACGAGAGGTATTCCATAGTAAATTGTTTGTTAAAGTTTTACACAAACTCCACACAACTCCGACTGATTTTACACAAACTCCAACTGATTCAAACAATAGCCAGTAAATTATGGCGCAGAACATTTATGAGTTAAACTTTGAGATAAATTGCTGTATTATTTTATCTCGTTGATTTCTAATTTTGAGAAATATTTAATAAGGATGTTCAAGGAGTGAATTTTTAATTAAATAAAGTTTTGAATTGAATTCAGAATAATGAATATTTTAATGAATATTTGAACTAATGAATATTTTGTACCATGGATTCTTGAATCCACAAAATGCTGGACATTAGAAGCAATACAAGTTCTTGAGCTCCCAGGCTTCACGGCTTATTTAATTTTCTCAGGTATATAAAAATCTTTGCGCCATAACGCCACAACTCATGATATTCTGAGTATATTACTTCAGTTAATCTTCTCTAAATTTAAAATATGAATTTTTTTAAATTTCGCTGGATTTATATTAAATATTTGCTCACCTGCATTTAGCTTGGATTTTATTGGAAAAGTAATGGATGAATTTAAAAAGTCAGAAGAAATAAGCATTACTAAACCAAAATGAAGTATACTCAATTTTTTGTTCAAGCTTTTGCTTTCCTTGCGTTAACCAAAATTTGTTATTCCGCTGAAGTATCGAGACCCGAATATTTATCAATTGAAGGATTTCAAAATTGTACTGGGAGGTAAATCGTTTAAACTTCATTTAAAATTAAATATGTACTATATTCAAATATTTAATTAAAGCAAGACGATTGGCACGTACCAAATTTATTGTCTCCCTGAGATACAGAATGGATCTTGTGCTAACTCTTCTTGGGAGGCGCTTCATGTAAATTAAAATTATTAAAATTTACAAAATAACTTTGTTATATTTTTAATATAGAAACTAAATAGCAATGATTCATTACAACCATGCGAAGACAATGGAACTACTATTAGTAAATATAATCCTAAATTAAAAAATTTTTCAATTAAAAGGTTATGACGATACAACTACTATAGACGCTAACACAGACAATGGAAATGAAGACAAAGACTGTAACAATGAAGATGATAATAAAAAGGAAAAGAATGGTGTTAAAGAATTCAAAAAATTGTTGAAAAAACTTGGTGGACTTCTCAGCAAGCTTGGCCATCTTTTGGGAGTTAGTTCAAAGGATAATGTAGGGGAAGATTCGTAAATTTACACGAAGTTTATTGGAAGAAAATTTTTTTATATTTTTTAAACATTTTGGGAAAACCTACCTCCATTGAAAATGGAATATACCTTTTAAAATAACTATTGTAACTCCTATAGTGACAAGATTAATTTCGAGTAATATCGAATATACTGTTATAATCCACTAACCAAAGGATGACTCAACCCCGATCCGAAAAATTTTCCTGAACCCGATCTGACTTCTTTCCCTCTTAATCCCCTAACTTGCCTGACCCGAAATCCATCACGCGACCCGAACTTTTTCGACCCTAAACCCGATCTGGCTTTTTTCTCAACCCTTGGCAACCTTAGCAAATCCTGTCACTATAATAATGAGTTAATTTTAGGGAAAATCTGGTATGTATTCTAATATTATAAATATAACACAAAAATATTATTATAATTACAGTCGGATCCCAGTTAGTATGAGTAATATTTAATATTATTTTAACTATACGATTTTACACCCAAAGGGCATATACATATGTGGAGTCCGACTGTAGTAAATACGATAGATTAATAAAATGTCATGCTTAAAGTGCAGATTTATTAAAGCATATGCAACTTTATTGAATAAATAAATATCGTATATTTCCGCTGATTATGATAAAGTCCAGACAATGATGCAATTTTATTTAACATTTTATCAGATCATCCAGAGGATATGACGAAAATCTAGTCAATTTTTGCATTATTTAATTTATTATTTAAGGCTCTAGGCATTAAGCATATTATTTACATTCATTATTTTACTAATAAAAATTTTCTTTTCATGAAAGAATAAAAGTATTCAAATCGTAGAGAATTTCTATCAGAATCCCGATCTATTCGTGATCGATCTGTTCGTGAAGCCAAATCGTTCGGAATCCTGATCAGAATCTCGAGCTATTTAAATTTTCCACTCATCAGAACGGATCCAGTGAGAATCCAGGATTTCCGGTTGGACACATTATCTAGAAAATTTTTTACTAACATTTAGATTAAATGAATTGCAATAAATTCTATTTAATAATTTTTTCGATCATAACATGCTCAAATGTTATTTCATGTAAGCGATTGTATGTGTTATGTAGAAAAATATTTATAATATTTAGCCCTTTTAAAAATGCCAACCGAAAACGGGGAATATAAAATGTTGGTAGAAGACGAGAAAAAAGATATGGTTTATCTAATCATCTTCCCAAGAATTTCAACAACTCCGAATCATTTGACAATGTGTTTGAAAATTGAGACTTGGTTAAAGCTTACGGGCATCAGATTTTATGTATTATCATTTATAGGAGTATATTTAAATTCCTTATTAATATTTCAGCGTATCTCCAATCAATTTTTACTTGGCTCTCCGGATTCTGGAATAGCTCCATTTGTTCAGTTCAATGGAAAATATTATGAAGGATTTGATAAAATAAAAGAAGCGGTTAAACATTTAGTAAAGAAAAAACTGCTAGAAAATGATAGGGAAGCCGAGATAATTTCAATTTCGGAAAATTATTTATTAAAAATATTAACAAAGGATAAAGCAACGAGGCATCGAAAAATAGGAGGCAAAAAATCAGGGGGATTGGACTATCTAATAAAAGATAATGGTGTCCGTGCACAATTTTTCCAATCACATCCCCAACTTTTTGAATGGAGATGGCAAGAAATTATTTTAAATAATGACAAAAAAATTAAATTTGAAATGGGTTCTGAATTTTGGAATGAATTTTTTGGAATTGAAAGAGGAATAGAAAATCAAGAAATTAATGAAAAGGAAATTTTGAATTTCATGGAGAAGCACTTGGTGATTATTTTAGGTAGTGATGCGAGTAGTGATGGTGTTGGAAGTTCCAATTATTCGTATAGTGAAGGGACTGAGGGTTCTTCTCATTCTTTGAATAAAGAAATAAATAATGATTATTTATGGAATTTGGATGATTGGCAATATTTTTATGAATGGATGGATAAATTTGTTGAAAATAAGTTGGAGGAATATTTTACTAAAGAGAAGTACAGCATGGAAGGAAAGGTTGGGGAGATTAATTTTAGATTGATAGTTATAATATCTTTCATATTCAGCTTCGAGAATATTTACAAAAACATTCATGGGATCAAGTATCTGATGAGAAAATTTATGAAAGTTTTGAAAAAATAATACAAAAAATAGTAAATATGCTAGGTTCTCAAAAATTTTTGTTTGGTGATCAGCCTAGTCTTGTAAGATTGAAAAATAAAAAAATTTTCTAAAAATATTTTTAGGCAGACATCTCGTTATTTTCTATTTTGGTTCAATTCTTTGAAGGGCATCTAAATATTCCAGTAATTAAGCACTTTTTCCTTAAAAAGGGTGAAAAGCCTGAAAGAGATGCCATTGATTTCATTGGTAAAGCAATAGTTATTGAACAAAAATCAAAAAGTAATTGTGAAATTGAGGAAGAAGGTCCAAGTTTTATCGAAAATTGTGGGGAAATGGAAGGAAATGATAAATATATTGATAAAAGAATTGGACATCTTCATAGTTATGTGGAACGGATGAAAGAGAAAATAGGCCTTGGTTCATACAAGTGGATCAACTTAACAAGATACCCATGGCCTTTAAATTATGAAGAGGTTGATTACATAACAGATAAATATTCAGGCAAGTTTTTGAATAGAAGTAAAATTAAAAAATTTTTCTTCAGGTTTCTTTCATCTTGAGACTGATGATATGAGTTCCTTTGTTGATCAACTCGACAGCAATAAATGGACGGATATTGCCAAAACGATTTTACATAAAAAACCAAATAAATGGACGAATATCAAAAATATTTATCGAGGGAAAAATCAACCCAAGATTGAAGAAATAGACAAACACTCCCGATTAATCTCAAAGGAGATTCTAAATTATTTGTCAGTTTTTTGGCCTGATAAAAATGATGAAGATAGAAAAATGTATGGAAAAATAATTTTGCATTCAATTGCTGCTGCCTATTGCAATTTGGGGAAAGGTAAAACTCTTGAGGATGCAAATAAATGCCAAAAAATGCATAGAAACAAGGCTATAGAATTGAAGCAATATGTGGTTGATGATGCAGGCAGGACTGCTTTTAATGACAAAGGAAGCTATTTTAGTTCAGCCCCATCGGTTAATACGAAGGAAATTAAAGAAAATTTAGATTTCCATGTTAGAAGTTGCTTAAAGATTGCCTATGAAACAATACAAAAATATAATGAAAATGGAATTGTTAAAAATGTAGAAGAAGCAATTAATAAAGCTTGGAATATTAAGAAAAATGAAGGAAAAGATTAGATAATAAACAAGATTACCAAGATAAATTTTATTAATAAAGGATTAAAAATACGCATTATTTTCTCTTGAGTACCCTAACTGATATGGACGTTAATCATTGAACTTTTGAGGAGCATCGCCCTGGGTGGGGAGATATTGTATTGCAGGTATATCCTAGTTATATTCCCTTTCATCTTTTTCCAATTAATAATAAAATTAATTTGTCTTACTAACTTTTATTTTCATTAAATTTAAATAACAATGAGTAAGAAACAATAATAAAAATAAAAACAAAATGAGAAAAAGAAATAATTGAGCAAGTCCAGGCAAAACCAAATTTTTGAGCACCAAACCCTCCAAGTATGTTACCAGCAAACGATCTGAAATTATTCTGTTTATTAAACAAAGGTTTAAAAACCCTAGAGTTGAGGATGACTGGACTAATCCAAACAGACAAGCATAAATTCGGGTCGATTCTTCATCCGTCGATTTTGAGATATCCGAGCAAAGTTGAAAGACGGGAATATATAAAGCAGCAGATGCGCAGCCCAGCAGTGCAAATGAAACGCTGATGAGTGGAATAGTCTTTTGGATTGGTAAAAGAGGGAATGGCCCCATCAAAAATGTTGATAGAAAGGCTAATATTGACCCAATTATTGTAACAATTAAGGCAGAATTTTGACATTTCTTTTTATTCAATCCCATAAATAATCCCCATATTGGGGCGCTCATAAAGTAGCTAACACTCATTATTGTATATATTGTGCCAATGATCACTGCGGAAGAGTTTAACTATAAAATGTGGATTTAGCTGTATAAGCAAGCCTTTAGATAGATTTACCGAGTTTAAATGTTCTGGCAAAGGTGCCTGAAAGAAGGAGCAAGTAATCCCACGAGTAGTTATCACTAACATTATAAGCCACGTACTGGGTAGTCTAAGTACTGATAAAAGTCCATTATTCGATGAATTAATATCCTTGTTAGTCTTGTTTATTTTTGTATTAGAATTGCATTTAGAAGACTTTGATAATGCTTCGAAATCAGAGGAATTGGAAGATTCTTCAGATAATTGTCCAGATTTTTGTGGATAAATTAAAGAAATATTTTTGAAGCTTTTTCCTTGTTTTCCTCTTTTATTTTCTTTGTTTTTCTTCAACTTTGTGGAGAAGGCAAAAGCTATTCCAGTTAATGCCATTAATGTTCCAAACGTGAAATTTGGAGTTATAAACCCCCCAAATTCAAACAATACACTTCCTATTACTGGCCCTGAGATGTATCCAAAACCAGCGAATGCTTCAAGTAGGCCCTAAAGATTTAATTAAATGTTGAAGGATGCTAAAAGAAGTTACATACACCCAAAAGTGAAATGTTTGCAGGAAAAAGTTGTGCCATAATAGTCAATGAACTTATAACAAAAACGGTTCTAGCAAGTGCCTGAACGATCCGAATAGCTAATGAAGCCCAAAAGAAATAAAAACCGTTTGGTAATAGGGTAAGTAATCTAAAAATAATTAAATTAGTATTTGAAGGATGTTTAAAATTTTAAAGTACCCAAATCCAAAAGCTGTAAATGCTGTTAAGAAAAGGCTAAAAAAGAAAGCCTTTGAAGTTCCAATACTCATTATCTTAATATTTTTGAAATTAATTTAAATTTAATGAAGAATTACGTATCTTCCAGTAAAAGGTGCCATTATAAATCTACTCAATTGATATGTTCCAATAATTAAACCAATATCACCAGTATTTATTTGTCTTTTATTAGCCTAATAAATTATATAATTTAATCAGAAATACTTAGAAAAGCGTGCCCAATTTGAAAAATTTTTTAGAAGAAATGTTAAGGAGTGTGATCAAAAATTATTAAAGAAACCCGAAGGTAGCCGCACTTCTTTTGGATAAAAAGCATCCATACAATTGAAAGTTATTGTATTAACAAAATTGGCAATTAAAAGTGTAGAAATTATTGCCCATTCTCGATGAGTAAATATTTTAAAGAAATTGGTATTTAATTTTAATAAATGTTCAAACATTGGTTTTCTAAATTATACTTGTTTAATATTTCTCTTAGCTTTTAGATGAGGCTTAATCATTATATTTTCGAATTGGTTTCAATCCCGAGTTTGAACTGATTTAATTTAATTCAAGTAAACACAAGCAAGTTTTTAAACAACAAATTTATCTCAACGAATTTTTTTCAATATTATAAGGTAATAATAATGAAATAAAAACGGATATTTATAGGTTATCAAGAGGGAGGGAGAGTATTTTGAATTGAGGGGGAGTATTTTGAAAATTTTTAAGAAAAGGGAGTGAGTTTTGAATTTTAAATGTTTTAGATAAGAGTAAAACAAATTTTGTCTTGAATATTTTGATTATGATAACGGAATATTTAAAAGAGTTATCATGTTTTTACTATCAGAAAAAATGTGACTATTTAAAAAATATGTTAAGGGAATAATTTAAATCAAGCAGGCAAAAATATTCAAAATAAATGTCCTCCATAAACTGATCACAAATCTCTATTACTTATAATATTAACAGAAATACATAAAATAAAAATTAAAAAATATTGGGGAATGTCAAAATAATTTGTAAAATATTAAAATAATGTCATATGTTAGAGATTTGCATACACAACTTATTTAAAAAATTATTTTCGCATATTTAACATGCAAATTTCAAAAAATGTGATTGAGAAAAATTATAGGTAGAAGTCAGCACGTGAAAATTTTTTTGCAAAAACGTTTGTACTTGATAAAAAATATTAAAAAATAATTTCAAAAAATTTTTGAAAATATTTTCAAAATAAAATTTTGAGTTAATAAAAAAAATATGTAGTATTTTTATTTCAATTAATATTTAAAGTAAATAATTTGGCGAATGATAAAAATAAACAATAAAACTTTTTCCTTCACCTTGTTTCAGATCATAAGTTCTTTGCTCTCTTAACAGGAAATTCAGCAAAAAATATTTTTATTTTTATTTACAAATCAAAGAAATCAACGCTCACGTTCGTTAACACACAACAAGGTGATAGTAAATAAATTTTAAGTTGTTTGATCGATGCATTTAATTGATCAGATTTCTGCAATTTACTTGAGTAAATTTAAGGAAAATTTTCTAAAAAAAGGAACCTATTTAAAGAATTTTAATAAATTAATACGGAAGTGTCAAAAATAAATTATTTTAAATATTAAACTACTGGATTATCAAATATTTTGATAAGTTAAATATGGAAAATTGCCAAAAAATGTACTTGAAAGTACTTACACTATTTTAAATCTTACACTATCTCAAATTTTAAATTATAAAATTTTTTAGTTATTTGGCGAATTTAAAATTTGTTTTATTAATTATTTTATTAATTATTCTTTAAATTTTTAAATAAAAATTTATTTTTAATTAGAATGCCTGATTGATATTAATTTTGTAATAATTTAAGTTCTAATTTATTTAATTTTTAATATTAATTTTTAAGCCACATTTTAAAGTTTTTAACTACAATTTATAACTTTTTATTTTAGAAAATTCAAAGTATAATATTACATTTTTAAAACATCAAAGTTGCGCATTGAATAATTTTTAAAATTTTGTATGTCTATTTAAACAAAATAGTAAATAATATCGCTGCGCAAATGCGTGCATTTTCGCTTGAATGAGTTCATTGTTGGACGATCCAAAGCCTTTTCAATTATTTGGATCGGATAACAGAGAAAGCGGACCAAACAATGTTTATGTAAATGCTTTATTGCGCAGGATTTAAAGAGAGAGAACTCTATAAATTCGCAAAATGCGTTAAAATTTAATAATAAAAGTATAACAAAAAATTTTTATTTTAGTAACAATTCCTTTAAAATTTAAAAATTTTTTCCCTAAATTTAATTTTAAAAAATAATAAGTTTATTAAAATGATCATTTATTTGTTAATTTTATTTTTATTAAACCTTATCAACATCCTTCAATTTTATACGTTAGCTATTCCACTTCCAGCTCCACCCGTTTTTGAGAAAATTCCACATTACCCAGCAAAGTGCTATCTTCCTCCAGGTAAACTTTATTTTGAGCTTGACAAAAATTGGAAAAATCTGGGTCATTATTTCAGAATCTGGTCTTTGCCTTAACAATGAGGATTCAGTAAAATTTAAAATTTCTAATGACAAAAATGAAATAGACCAACTTGAGGAAAAGAGATTATTATTACATCGCTTCTTTTTTGATTCTGTTACCAGACAATGTTATGAATTTGGTGCTCAGGAATGTGGTGGGAATGAAAATAGATTTAAAACTGCTAAAGAATGTATGGAAATATGTGCATTATCTTAAAGATTATTTTTGAGAGTTCCATTTAATTATAATTTAATTTCAATTATTATTCAATGATGATCAAACGATAAATTAAAACTTTCAATTTACAATTCTCTCAATTCATTTATCAATCCATCCATATTTATTTTATCGTCAAGAAGCGCTTCTTCTGCCTCGCAAAATGGCACGATCTTGCTTAGCTCCTTTCCACATTTTGTAGAATTAAAACAACAAGACCATCCATAATCTATCAATTTTGCATTTATAGAAGTTCCATTATGTGGAAATAGAAGTATATTATCTGGATGGATGTCACAATGTGCTAGACCTAAAATGATGGATTATTTTGGGGATTTACTTGAATTATCTTTCATTTTCTATCCCAGGGCAATAATTTATATAATATATAAGTTAAAAATAATGCGTATTGTAAGAGTAGTCGACATCTCCAGGTTTCCGGGTATTTTCTTTAAGTTTTGGACATCCGGTTCCTGTTTCAGTTATATTACCTTTCTCATGAAGTTTATCCAACTGTTTTTGAATTTGTAATTTTAATTGTTCCAATTGTTTATTACTATTGACCTTTTTAGCATTTAAACGCTGCCAATGTTTTGTGGCGTCTTCTTCGCCAAGTTCTAAAACTGTTGTTACCAAGGTACAATTGGCTACATAAAATATTATAAAAAATTTTCTTATAGAATAATTTTCTCAATATTCCAGTTAGTTTAATCATTTCAAAATTAATTCGAAATAAAAAACTTAAAACGCCTACTTAAAGATTTATTATTCTTTGTAACTTCACGTTTCTTTCGTCTATTACTGCCAATTATTACAACACGCAAAAAATCGGAAAATAACGTCTCCTCGTTACATTTTTGATTAATTGATATATCACTGAAACAAAAATAGAATTTTTTATTTTTATCTTTTGGAAATTTCCTAAATTATAATAAGATTTTTAAATTTTCAAGCTACCTACTAGTAAAATAGTTTAACGTTCCCAGCATCTGAAGCATTCAGAGTTTTCATCACCTCCAATTCTCGTGTGCATTTGTTCACCCATGGCTGTTCCATACAACGCTTGATTGCTACACATTTATCCAATGATGGTGAATACGCGAGAAAAATCTGAATATTTTCAAGATATCATGACGTATAACGACCACTATTTTCTCCTAATAGATCAAGAAAATCAGGATTTTTGCCTCATGTATATCTGAAGATATAAAGGTCTTCACTACCTCTGGGAACGACCAAACAAGCAGAACAATCTAAAAACTCACTTTAGAATCATAACCATTCCCTAGAGGCACCACTGTATCAAATATTCTGCCATCAACCATTAATTTACTTGTCTTATTACGAACAGTATATCTTCCACAATTCGACAATTGTTCTGCATTTTTGTTTGAGTGTGAAGAATAACAATAATAATGGGAAATAATAAACAATAATATTAAGGTTTTTGGCTTTAGAATACAACAAATTCTCGTAATTAGCGACATTATAATTTGAATTTTAGCTCAATATAGGGGATATTAATTTTGTTATTTTTGTGCTGATAACAGAACAAAAAAATCTTTTCTCGTGGGTGTTACCCAAAATAATAAATAAAATAAATAAGTTGACATTTTATTCAAGTTAAAAAAGGTTGTAAAATATTTGGCGAATTAATTTGAAAAGAAAGTTTTGATTAATGATTGTTGACAATACACAAATTTCAATTAAATTAAAAAAATAAATTTATTTATTGAAAATTTAATAGATTATTTGCTCAGGATATACATATTAAATCAGATCTGGATTGGTTCAAATCTAATAGGAATTAAATTTAAAAAAAGACCATGGGTATTATTTAGACTTTTAGTTGGAGGGTTAATTAATCGAGGGAGGGTAATTATACGAGGTTTGAAATTTGAACGTGTTTTAGGGCATTTGTTCGGGGGGTTAATGAAAGCGGAATAATTATTTGAGGGAGGACAATTAATACAGGTTATACGTTCTTACGGAAAGAGGAAGTAAACTTAAATTCATTTAAAAAATTCCATAAAATCCAAAATTTACCGTTATACATATAATAAATTTCGTTACTTACCTAGAATATTTATGAATTAATGAAATTTTTATTTAGTTCGTTTCATTTCTTTTTTTACAAGCACGCTAATAAAAATATTTTTAAATTAGATTTTTTTAGCCAAACAGATTAGGTAATAATATTTAAATATACTTCACACTTCAAAAAATATTTTTGATCAGAAGAAACGAAGTGGTGGGTGGTCTCCGTGATTTTAATATTCTTTTTTTTTCATTAGCTTTTCACCTGTTTAAAATTTTTTAGCGTATTTTTTTGTTAAATTTAACTAAATTTCTAAGTTTTCTTCAAATTTCATAATCTTTTTAATACTTAATCCAAAACAAAATTGAATTAAATTCCATTAGTTAAAGCTGATTTTCAACAAATTTATTAATTTTTTAAGATTTTTAATGGAAAAATATCGAAAATTCTCTTTTCAATTTAATTATATGTATAATAATTTTAATTTTGATAATTTTTATATTTATGATTTGTTCTACGATATGTTCTACAATACCTAGTACAATTAAAAATGATTATGATCGGCTAGAAAATAGTCAAAATAAGATAACTGTAAATAACTTATAAAATATCTGTTTAATAAATAATTAAAAGAATGAAAACAAAAAATATTATGAACAATGGCTGGAACCTATAGATTCTGTCAGAGAAAGGCCTGAATTTGATCATTTTATTTATACCAGAATGATGGACGGTGGACTTGGGAATCAAGTTTGTCGTTAACTTTAATTAATATCCAGAATTTGATTATTTAATTGAGTTTATCTTCAACTTAGAAAAATACCTATAAACGATAGGATTTAAGAAAAAACTAGAAGCCACATATTGATCTTCTGATTCAAGAAAAGTCAATATAAGAATTCAAATGCGGGGATGTAATCTGACTGGACGCATCTCGAGAATTGTGTTTGGAGAGCATCTATTTGATGTCAATGAACACAATGGCGGATCAAACGCAATATTGATCACACCCAGTCTTTAATACCTGATCTGAGCTTTGTCTTTACCATACTATAAAGCTTTAAATTTTTTAATTTTAATTTTAAAGATGTATCGTTTTGCCGGTCTCTATACAATGGGCAAAATGCTTAACAGAACGCCTGTTTACGTTCATGAAGAATTTAAAATGCATGAAATAGATAAAGAATTAGCTTATGTTTTTCCTAATTATCATTCAAAAATTTATTTTTTGGTAACTTTCATTTTGAATTTTAGCTTTAAAAAATATTTTTTAGAAAAAAGATTTTAAAGATTTCCATCAATTTCACTTTGCTCAACATTGCTGTGATTATCATGATCCTAAAATGTAACTAAAGTTTATCCGTTTGTAATAACAAACATTACTCCTAGATATATTCTTAATCGCGATCTAAACCTCTCTACAAACCCCATATAAACCCCGATCAATATCTTAGGCTCAGATTTATAAAATTCGACAAAAATAAATCATAACACAATTTTTAAAAGTTAATTGAGGAAGATATCCAAAGGAGATTTTCCAAGAATATGCCTTTATATTAAGATTGTTGGAACAAAATAAAGGAAGAGGATTATATTTGGCTGGTGGACCTATTTTCATAGATACTCGATACTTTAATCATATGCGACCTCAAATCCTTAAAATATTTGAATTTGGCAAAGAACTTGTTTCAAAAGTTACTGCTATAAAGGATAAGATTATTAGGTGCGGTAACTGAAAAACTTGTTAATTTTTACTATTTTTAAAAATTTTTAGTGAAGATACTTCATCACACAAAATGTGTATCCATACACGAGTTGGTGATTTTAAAGGTATTGGAGAATCACAAACTGTAGAGGTAAATAAAGCCCATGTGAGGATGTTGAAGATTTTAAAAAGATTATTGGTGAGATTTTGTTAATTTTAATTAGTATCAAGGAATTTTTATTTTTAAGAAAGACAAAACTTATTCATTGTTGGTATTTGGAACAGATAAGGACTTTTTGAAAACCATTAAAGTTGATAAGGTAACCCCAATTTTACTTTAACATCTAGGGTTGTCGATTCATCGAAGATCGTCGAATATCCTTAACAGAAACAAAAAATCTCGGTTCCTCGGTCTGGCTCCGTTCGAAACGACAACCCTATACAAATTTTCTCATTTGGTTTGTCACTTGGTGTGCTTTGCTATTAGTTAGCTAAAAAGTGTTGGTATTAAGCCAAAAAAGGCTTATAGCCCATAGCTATGTCAGCTGTAAATAAAATTATATCTTTCAGTCAATAAGTAAAGTCCACTATGTTATTAAACTAAATCTGACTCGTGGAGAAGAATTAAACTTTGCAAAACAAATATGCGATTCATTCTTGGTTACTGCTGCTATGTCTAGTTATGCTGCTTGGATGGGTTATTTAATGCCTGATGTAATTTATAAAATTTTAAAAATAAAAAAAATTCAAGTTTTAGGATCGACCAATTTTCTTTATTAGAAGACTTATGCAAAATCCAACAATTGATACATTATATATGTTGCCTGAAAGTTGGATTCCTATTGATGAAAATTGGCTTAAAAATTAATTCGAAACTAATATATTTTTTAAAAAATAATGCTTTTCCTTATTAATTTTCTGATTATATTTTCCCTATTTATATTTTAAAATTTTAAACAAGTTTTTTTTAATTTTTAAATAAATTTTAATTAACGTAAATGCTCTAATTAATGCCCTGAGTGTCTATTTTTTAACGATTCACTTTGGGGGGCTTATATTAGATATGGTTCTTATTTGTCTTGAATGATAAAAAAATTCTCAATCCCTTAATTTTAAAATATTTAAATAAATAAAAAAATGGAAAGCATGAAATCGAAGTGAATAAAATCAATGTTCTTTTTCTTTTTTTATTATTTATGGGACAATTTTTCTCGGTTTTTGTTTGCTTTATTTTTATTTAAATCCACGAGAGTTTACGAAAATGTACATAAAATTCTCTTAAAAATATAAAAAATTATTTTTTTATAAATTTGTGTGATGCTTTTTGCTTTATAAAATTTTTTGTTTGTTTAATTTGCTTAATTTTACAAAAAATTTTCCCCAATCTCACTCAAAATACCTCAATATAATTTACCACAATATTCTTAAAATTATATATTTCACGGTATTTTAGCTCCAAAACTTTTATTAATCTCCCAAGATATTTAATGGAAAAATATCAAAAATTATCTTCTCAATTTAAACAACAAAATGGCCGAAAAATCATTAAAAATATTAATTATTTAATAATTTTTATTTTATCTATTTTTCTAATTATAATGATTTGTTCTTCAATATACAGGCCTAATACAATTAAAAAAGATTATGATTGGGTAGAAATTAGTCAAACAGAAAAATCAGTAAATAAAAAACAAGACAAAAAATATTATGAACAATGGCTGGAACCTTTAGATTCTGGCAGAGAAATGCCGGAATTTGATCGTTTTATTTATACCAGAACGATGAACGGTGGACTTGGAAATCAAGTGATTTTAATTAATAAAAATATTAGAAGGAATCAGAAGGAGTAAAACATTTATTAATCTCCCAAGAAGGAAATTTACGTGATCTAAATTAGAGATCAGAACGAAACGATCTCTTATTAACTCTAATTTTGTGATAAAATTTTTCATTGTATCAATCACGGATCTTGCCTAAGCATCAAGTTCATTTCTTAAGACAAACCAGTAAATAATAAATCATGAATTAAAATTATTTCTGATCTGTCTGAGCTATATCCGATCTTATTGAAATACAATAATATTGATTTCATCCATATCTAAGTCTGATCGATGTGATCAAACTTTTAGGCGTTAAAACTATTTTAAAATTTTACCTTTAAATTTTACCTTTACTTTTACCTTTACTATTTTAAAATTTCACATTTAAAGATGTATCGTTTCGCTAGTCTCTATGCTATGGGAAAAATGCTTAACAGAACAACTGTTTACATTCATGATGACTCCACAATGCATCAAATAGATAAAGAACTAGCTCATGCTTTCCCTAACTTTCATTCAAAAATTTATTTTTTGGTAATCTATCTTTTGGAAATTTAAAAAATATAAAATAATCCTTCAGAGAAAAAATGTGACAGATATTCACTCAATTGCTTTTGCTAAAGAATGCTGCGATTATAATGATCCAAAAATGTAAAAATAAATTAAAATTTCTGATTTAAAATAAAATTTTCAGACTTCTGAGTCAAAATAAAGGGAGAGCGTTAAATTTAACTGGTGAACCTGTTTTTGAAAATACTCGTTACTTTAATCATATGCGACCTCAAATCCTTAAAATATTTGAATTTGGAAAAGAACTTGTCGCAAAAGTTACTGCTATAAATGATAAGCTTATTAGGTGTGCTAACTGAAAAATAAAAAAAAATCCATAAATTTTAGTGAAGATACTTCATCACACAAAATATGCATTCATACAAGAGTTGGTGATTTTACAGGCATGGGGGAATCAAAAACTGGCGAGATAAACAAGGCGCTTATCCGGATAATAAAAATATTAAAGAGGTTAATGGTGAGATTTTGTTAATTTTAAATAGAATACCTATTTTATTCCTTAGAAAAACAAGACTTATTCATTGGTACTCTTTGGAACTGACAAAGGGTTTTTGAAGACAATTAAAACTGAAGAGGTAATTATTGGAATTTATTTTCCATCCGGATTAGCAGGATCAAAGACCTCTTTTGACTTTATCCAATCCCTCGTTTCATTTCTAAAGATTTAATGAGATTTTTTTATTTTTTCTTTCAGCCAATGAATAAAGTTCACTATGTTGCTGACTTAAAGTTATCTCGTGGGGAAGAGCTAAACTTTGCTCAACAAATATGCGATTCATTTATTAATACTGCTGATCTTTCTTCCTTTGCTGCCTGGATGGGATATCTAATGCCTGAAGTAATTTAGTAATTTTAAACGATAAGGAATTTATTTTCAGGATCGACCAATCTTCTTTATAAGAAGATATAGGAAAGGCTCTTTAATAGAGTCATTATCAATGTTGCCTGAAAGTTGGATTCCTATGGAGGAAAGTTGGCTCAAAAATTAATTTGTAAACAACTTTTCTTTCTGATAATATTTATTTTCTTTCTATTTTAAAACCAATTCTTATGTAAAATAAAATTTTATATTTTTTCAATTTAATCATTTTAGCATTGCATCATTTTAAAAAAGGAAATTAACAAAAATAATTTTAAAATAAAACGTGGATTATTAAAAAAATTAACAACTTCTTTAAACATTATCAAATGTAAATATTTAAAGAATAACAATAGTTATTGTTCTTACGTTGTCAACTGACAAATATAATATCATTCTTAGAAATTTAATGTTACATGTTCCTATTCGAAAAAATATTTTTTAGAATGGGTTTTTGGGGTTTATTAAAGCTAGAGGTTTGTATTTAATAATTATTATAATGAAAATTACAAAAGATATACCAAACGGTTTGAGATATGACGGAAACAAGCCATGTAACAAAAATCTCAATTATCGAGGTAAATATTCTCAAACGGTCTCTAAAGTACGATTCTACATATTCTAGGTACTACTGCCTCATAGATATAATGATCATAGATATTCGATAATAATTATCATTATCAAATAATGATAAATAATGACCTTCAATTCCTGATCATAGCTCAACAACCTTCCTGATCATAACCCTATCACATATTTTTAAGTTATGTTAGGCCTTAGTTCAAATTTTAAAAATTTTCTTTAGATGTATCATTTATTAATAAAAATTCTTTTATTTTCTTCTCTAATTTTATATCCATTTTCTGAGGATTGTCATGAGGATAACGATGATTATCCTACACCATCACCAACTTGCCCACCACCTTTTACAGTGTATACCAATGTGGTAAGTGAACCATTTAATTAATCTATCTAATACCAATTTACATATAAAAGACCAACGAATTTGATCTAGTTCCTTGCTTTGGTAAGGGCTTCACTGTAGAGAAGAATAGTTATGCTGGAATTCAAGTTGAAAGAACTAATCCTGGATATTTAAAGTTTTCATTGGCATCGGAAAAAGGCGATATTATAAGCCTGGGAATTGATACGAACGATAAGGTGAGAAAGATGCGTTTTTATTGAAAATAAGTGGATTTTTAAAATCTGCAATCTTCTAAAAACGGGAGACGACAAAGTCACATGAATAATGAGTAAATATTTAAATTTAATATTATGTAATTTCAGATTTTTATCGACGGAGAGATATATAAAGGCAAATTACCGAATATTAAAATTTCAAATATTTTTGGAGTTCATTTTGATATGTTACGTAAAAATGCTACTGATACCAATCCTAAAAAATATAAAATTAAGGTAAGTATTTGTCAAATCTGAGTTCCAATACTGAAAAATTTTCTCTTAATTTGTTTTTCAGCTTAGAGTAGCCAGCAAATATGGAGAATATCTCTGGGATGATTACTATTCTGACGCTGATTTTGAAAGTGTAACAAAAATTTATAATTACGGAAATTCAAGAATGTTAAGTATTAACTTCTATAAAAGTTGAAGAAGAAGAGAGATTGATTCGAATTAAATAATTAAAAAAATATTAAATCAAATGTTGTGATACATATGTTGAAAAGATAAAATTAAATATGAACAATGCCGCTCCCCCTCAATTAATTACCTAACTTTTGATGATTATCCACTCGAATGATAGGTTAACTAGAGATCGGACCAAGACGAGATCACGATAGAAAATCACGGTTATCAAGGAGATCTTTTGGCCCAAGTATTAGAAAAATTTTAACAGATTTAATCTTAACACAAAAAAGAAAAATGAAAAAAAAACACAAGCTATAATATTGAAAAATTCAACAACAATCAAAGGTAAAAATCAGAGGTAAAATAATGAAAGATTTGAAAGGTAGAAAACATGAAAAATGCAAAGATTTGAAAGAATGAAAAAAGAAAATTGAGATTCAAAAAATCTAGAAAATATTTTAAAAATTGCAAAAATTCAACAATTTGCCAAAATTTTAGAAAATTTCTTTTTATGTATTTAAAAGCCAAGGATGCTTCTCAACAGTTAAGGCAGTGCTAATAAATTTTAATTTTTCGAAAATAAAATTTTTTAAATTTACCGATCCCCATAATCAAACAAAAGCTCTTCTCCAATTTGTATTTCACGTATTGCGACTAGACATAAATGAGGATATTTTTCACCAAAATCGATTATCTTAAATGGTATATTTGTTTAAAAAAATTTAAAAAATAGTCGATTCACTTTAGCTTTTAAATTAGGCACCAAACGGCTGTGATTGACTAAACGTCCTTTATCTCCAGTTTCTTTTGTAGCGTCAATACAAAGTTTCTTTTCATTATGCTAAATTTTTAATTAATTTTTAAAATTCATAAATCAGTACCGTAAAATAAAACATATAGCAACCAATTTTTGGATCAAGTGAGTAAACATATTCTCTCCGTTTGGCTCTTTTCATATTTATTATATCCCCTAAAAATATTTAATTTTGAATTGATTAATATTGTTTTTAAATATTTCTGCACGTTTTTTGCCCTAATAAAAGGATGTCAAATCCAAGGAGGATTTGACATCAACTTCTTAATAGGGTTGTCCCGCGTCTCCTGAAGTTGGGGAATTAGAGATTATTTTGAAAATCCCCCATCCCCATCAATCTCTTGATTAAAATAAAAATTTTAGTCAAACCCCACCTTTATATTCAACTACAAATTCATCCTTAGAAAAAGCAAGTTGTGTGCGTAAACCTCTCCCTTTAGTTTCTGAGGTAAATATTTCCAAATATGGCTCGTTTACAGCCAAGTTTACTTGTTCCTTGAGTACTTGAAGACGCAAAATCTAAAATAAATTAATCTTATATTTTATAAAATAGTGGGGATTAATAAACATACATCCAAAAAGCTTGGTGTAATCCGACTACTTCGACGACTAGGAAAGAAATCCGTTATTTTGTTTTTAGCACAAGTAGTGTTTCTCTGCCCTGAATTGTTGACTGATTCATTTAAAGCAGCTGAATTTTCATCTAAAATTTAAAAAAAAAATAAATTTACAGCTTAACTTCATTACCAGGATTTTTATTTTCTATAGACTCAAGTGTGTTATCCCTCTCTTTATTTTGCAATACATTTTCTTTTGATTCGTTTTCTTCTTTTTTAAAGATTTTATCACTGATTTTTGAAGTAAATAATTTGTTTCTTCTCTTCTTTGTATTTTCTTTATTTAATTCAAAATGAGAAGGTTGGGTAGTTGAGGTTTGAGGAAATTGACAAAGATATTTAATTTTTTGGTTGGCACTGTTAAAAATTGAGGTTAAATTTCACACAATTTTAAAGCTATTAAAACTTAATCTCGACTATTTCGGACCTATTTAAATCTCGGGAACAAAAAAGGATACCGAAGAACAATCATTGTGACCGTAAAATCTTCCGAAATCAAATTAACAATAATTATCCTATTTTTAGGCCTAAATTTCTTTCTCTTCCATAAGATCTCGATTTATTTTTAACCAAATTCCCTCACCTCATAATTGTTTTCTGTCTTGATTTGACCCTTATAATTGCAACAATTTGAGCTTCATTAAAATCTTTGTTGACATATTCACTATCCTCGGCAAAAATATTTCTGAACAATATAAAGTTTGAAATACCAACAGAACGATTAGAGCCATTGAAATGTGCAATAACCTAAAAAAATTTTAGAAAATATTTTTTGTAAAATAAAATTTTTCCCACTTCGTTATCCATTCCAGCATATCCTTCCTCTTGCGAGACCAAACGAAAAGTAATTAGAGCAGTCAGGGTTTCATTAAAAGGCAAATCCTCACAAATAACGTAGACTGAGATAAAACGGCTCTGACCAGTAAAAGTATTTCTATTAAAAAGGATTTGAAGTCGCCTAAAAATATGGATATACTTTAGCCGGTGGCCCACTCAGAAACGGGTCAAATTATATACCATTCGATTCGTCTCGGCGAGCTGAGTCGAATGGTACCACTCTTTTTTTGCGGAAATTGCTACGAGCCGAGATATAGGTCCTTAAAAACCGAAAAACCATAGGGGGGACCAAGCACTTTTTTGGGGTGGAAAATTCGAATATGCAAATAATATCTCATTCGAAAGAGCTCGTCGAGCTGAGTCGAATGACACCAAAATCACCGTGATTGCATAAGATTTGACAAAGTTATAACACAAAAAACAAAGAACCTAAACCTATGGGTCGGCGGCGAGGCGCTTGGGCAAGACCCCGCGCTTCGCGCGGGGTCTTGCGGCACGCGCCTCGCGGGGAGTCTACGGGCGCTGGGTCTGGGCTCGTAACATAAGCCTATTCCTATCTCCTTTGCTCTGGACGTATTTGGGGCCTCCGTAGCAGCAAAAATCTCCACAAATGCCATAGGTAAGGAGCTAAAATAAAAGATCATAACTTTGTTCACTCATGTCTGATTTCGTTGATTTTGATGTCATTCGACTCAGCTCGAGGAGCTCTTTCGAATGAGCTATCATTTGCAAATTCGAATTTTTCACCCCAAAAAAGTGCTTGGTCCCCCCTATGGTTTTTCGGTTTTTAAGGACCTATATCTCGGCTCGTAGCAATTTCCGCAAAAAAGAGTGGTACCATTCGACTCAGCTCGCCGGGACGAATCGAATGGTATATAATTTGACCCGTTTCTGAGTGGGCCACCGGCTAAAGTACAGCCAAAAATATTTTTAGATGATTAAAGGGAGCGTATAAAATATCCCCACCAATTGAGTCCCGCAACTCTAAATGATTCAGAAAGTTGAATAATGGAAGTAGATGCAGGGGCAATATTTTTAATTGCAACACTAATGCGTCCGTGGTTGGCTTAAAATAAAATTGGTTTATAAATTTTAAATAAACACCACTAATCAATTAACAAAAAATTTAAACAAAAAATAGAAACTCACCCTCTTTTTGTTTGAATGACTGGTCTTTGGCCTGCGATATTTCATCCTCCTTATCCTCCTTCTCTTTTACAACTTCAGCACTTTCCAGTTCTTTTTTAGTTGCTAAACTTCTTTCTTTTTGTTTAAATGGAATTGTAAAAGTACTAAGACTTGTAGATCTTTTAATTTTTGATGGAGTTGTATGTGGGGAAAATTTAACGGCAAAAACTTTGGTGCGGGATGAACGACGTAATGGACGCATTTTGACAAGAATTAAGAGGTAAAGAACTGAAATAAACAAATTTATTAATGGATTAGTAAGCATGAAAATTTGAAAATGTCAAGAAGATTAGAAAATCGATTTAAACAAAATTTAAAATAAACAAAACGCCAAAAACTTTAAAATGGTAGATTCAATGCCAAATTTGTGGGATAAAAATTTTCAAAATTTGTCGCGTTTTTTGACAAAATAAAAATGTTCTGGTTTGCCAGACTTGTCCTGATTGTTTTGAATTATCTAAAAAAAATATTAAATTTACCTGAACAAAAGAAGTGATTGAAATAATACTTTTGGATGTTATTTTTAGAATTATTTTAAAAATTTTGTCTAGTATTGCTAGAATTTTAAAGCATTTCGGTTTTATTTATTCATCTGTATTTTAAAAATTTTTTCTTGAAAAAATTATTGATTTCACTTTATTGTAAAATAAATTTTTGTTTGCATACAAAATAAGGAATATGGAAAATAAAAAATACATATACAAAAAAGAGAAAAAATGACGAATGTCCTCACCCTTTCCCACTCCTCATTTTCAATCCATAAACTTGCCGTTCTTAATGACCTCTTACGTATTTGTACATAATTCCGCCCTTTGAATTCGTTTAAATCGTAACAGATTATGTCTAAAATACCTAGGCCTATCAACAAGACTATCCTAATCCTTGAGAAAAGGATCTTTTCATTTCAAGAAAAAGATTTTCCCAACTTTACTTATCACACAATTTTTTTATATTTATGAAGAAATTAGGTAGTATGTCTTTAACTACATATTAATTTTTAAAATACTTATAGAAAAATATTAAACTTGGCAAAATAAAAATTCAAATCACTGCTTGATCTCACCGTCCTTCTCTTCACTAATTAATTATTTTCTAAATCCTTTTTCTTTATCCTTTTCTTCAAAGACTTGTTCTTCCCATTCTCGTTATTTTTTAATTCACACTCTTCATCATCATCACTACTTTCATCGTCCGAATCTGAAGAAGTATCATCTTCATCATCACTGAATTCTTCGTCTATTTCCTTTCTAGCTTTCTTTCTGAAAATTTATTTTTTTTATAAAATTTTTATGGCTATTTAAAAATATAAAGAATTGAAAGCCAAAAATTTATCCAAAAGATAAGAAAACAAATAATAAATATGTATTTATTTATGAAAATATTATTTAATGGTGGTCAGATCAAAAATTCTGAAAAACAGTTAAGTTTTAAGCAGGCTTAAACTATTCCAAAAAAATTTTTTTTCGCAAAATTTTGTTCTAAAAATTTTCGGATCCAACAACCTCCTACCTATTACATAAAATATTCAACATAAAATTAATTTGAAATTAATTTCATTTATTGTTTTCTTTTCTTTCTTCACATTTTTGCCGCAGTAATTCATTAAATTTCACTGCGATAAATTACGGACGTTCGGCTATGTGGCAAAGATGTTTGGCCCATGTGTCGGGAACGCTCGGCACCAGCTTCGACTGCATTGATTAAAAGGCCGCGCAAACCACCCTTTTCTAATTCATGCATGCCAAAAATTGTGCTCCCACCTTTGAATTTAATATTGACTTTTATTATAAAGGCTTGGAAATCTCTCATCCTATATCTAAAATTTATCTCTAAATAGGGTTAATAAACCAACCAGGGCTTTGAATAGCCTCTTTAAGTATTGCAGGATGTTCTCCAGTCTCTAAAAACATTTTTGCAGCACCATATAGAGTCATTGCTGCTAATTTCATTGAGAGATCTCTTGGTAATCCCTAATAAATTTTCTAATTTCAAAATCAAAGATTATCTTTTCTAACCAATTTAACTCCACCATCAGACAATCCTTCAATTATAGCAAATCCCTAATAAACAAAATTTTTATTAAAATATTTTATATTACATAAGATGGTCCACTTCCACTTAGTCCTGTAACAGGATCAATGTGTATTTCAGGAAGCTTAAAAATTTTTTTGAAAATTATGTGATTTGGAATTGAATATAATAAAGACCTCAACAGCATAACCAACGGTTGATAGAAGATCTTGAACGATTTGGGAATCACCTTTAAGAGGAATTAAAAATTTTTAATAAGATTTTGAAAATTTACTCTACCAACCATCTTGACATGCTGATCCTGAGAAAATAAATATTTTAATAATGTTTAAATTACCTATTCATATATTTAATAATTTAATATCCGGAAACTAAAGTAATATAATTTTCCGGAAAGCTTTTTCGTAAACTTAAGCAATATAACAGTATCCGGAAACTACAGTAATATTATTTCCGGAAAACATAATATTATCCTAAAACTTGAGTAATATGTATTATTTCCGGAAAAAACTTTTCGTAAACTTAAGTTTACAGAATAAGGGTAATATTATTTCCGGAAAACTTTTTTTTCGTAAACTTAAGTAATATAATATTGTCCGGAAACTTGAGTAATATTATTTCCGGAAAACTTTTTTTCGTAAACTTAAGTAATATAATATTATCCGGAAACATGAGTAATATTATTTCCGGAAAAAACTTTTTGTGAATTAAGTTTACAGAATATGGGTGATATAATTTTCCGGAAAGCTTTTTCGTAAACTTAAGCAATAAATATTATCCGGAAACTTGAGTAACATTATTTCCGGAAAATTTTTTCTCGTAAGCTTAAGCAATGTAATATTATCCGGAAACTATTAATATTATTTCCGGAAAACATTTTTTCGTAAACTTAAGTATATATTATAATATTGTCCGGAGACTTGAGTAATATTATTTCCGGAAAACTTTTTTTCGTAACTTAGCTTACAGAATATGGGTAATATAGTTTTCCGGAAAGCTTTTTCGTAAACTTAAGCAATATAATATTATTTGAAAACTTTAATAATATTATTATATTTCTGAATAAACGAAAAAAAGTATTATCTCCGGAATCTTAAATATTATCATTAGGAAACAGCATTTAATCTCATTAAAAATTAATGCAAATATCAATTCACGTACCCATGCTATAAGCTGAAGCACCAGCTCCTACAACTACAGGAGTGTCTAAATTTAACTTTCATTTAATATAAATATGGCTAAATTAATATACTTGGCATTACACGAACAATTCGGGATTTCGAAGGCAATAACTGCTCAATGTAGCGTATGGTGATGCCTAAGAATAAAACGAATTTTGCTTGTAGTAATAAGTATATTGATACCCAATGCTATAGAAATAAGTAAATGATCTCGGCGGATGGCTGGTGCAATTTCTAAAATTAAGGGTGAAACAGAAATAATATTTAACTTATTACCCGAAGCAACTTTAGACACAATAGTTGGTTTAACTGCCAGAATCACCACATCATTTTCACGAGCAACTTTAAATATTTAATGTAAATTTTTTTTAGTTTTTAAATCAAACACCTTGTGAATTATCATGTGTTGTATTAATTCCAAGCTTCTAAAATCAAGTTAAAGTATTAAATATAATTTATGATTTTTACAACCTTGCAATCCTCCAATAAAGAAACATCGGTCTTTAATTTTCATTAATTAAATTTTAATTTGTAAGGTACCTTAGGGCAACTAGCCATCAAATTTTGTGAAGGATAACGTCCAGAATTTATTAGTCCTCTGGCTAAAATAAGTTGGTATAGAGCGAGCTTAGCTTTATTTATTAGACTAACTAACCCAATGCCTGTGCCATCTTTCCAGCGCCAATAAATCCAATCTTCATTATTATCAGTTATTAGTAGCTCTAGGTAACTTTTATAAAGTAAATAAAAGAAAAATAACCTATAAAAATACCTTTTACGACCTTCACTGATATTATAACTAAATAATTAACTAAACCAATAATAATTATCGCTATCAGCGATTTTTAATTTAAATCGATTCAACCAGATGCAAGAAAATATATAATAAAAATAATTAATTAAAACTAAATTCCATCTTCTATCTTTCATATTTTTCTAAGAAAATATTTTTTTATTCTATCAATTAATAATAAAATATTAATTAATAAGAAATAGCAAATGAAGGAAAAATGAGCGCAAATTTGTAGAGTAATTTTTTCTTAGAAAAAATGTAGAGTAAAATTTTCTTAGAAAAAATTTTTCTTGAAAGACTATTACTCTAATTTAAATCTGGTTAATTTAATCTTAAATTTCAGTCTCAAAATTTGACGGGTCTCAAAATTATAAATTCAGTCTCAAAATTATTCAACAAAATGGTCATTGGAATGTTTGTTGTTACACTAATATACCTTATTCTCCGTTAAAAATTATTATACTTCCAACTTTTGTAATTGCCACACATAAATCTGACGTAATTATCCCCCACAAATTTATAAAAAAGCTTATTAAATAAGGAAATTAAAAAGGTATATATCCTGTTTGAAAAACAAGGAAGTAATTTTTTAATATTTAATATTAAGTAGATTTTAAAAAATGCTTTGAATTTCGAAAAAGTAGTAAATAAACAAATTTTGGTAAACAACTACTCATATATAAATTTGTAAATAAGTCTAAATTTCTAAAAATAATAACTCATAAACTAATTCAAATACGTATTTGTACATATTTAACATCATTTTGGCATTTTAAGCTTTAATTTCCATATTTTCCTTATTTTTGTGCTGAGATTAGTACTTTGGGTGCAAGCTTATAAAAAGGATAAGTAAACACAAGGAAAAGATTACTTTTTAAGATTTATTTTTCTACCTCAAAACTTTAAACAATTTATGCCGGAAATGATTTTTATCAAATTCAAATTTAAATTTTATATCCATCCATTAAAATTTATATCTACAAATTGTTAATGCCATCATAGTTTTTTGATTTTTTAAGCTTTTTGTGAGTATTTAAATTTTAGATAGTTAATTTAATGGCAGATAATTCCAAGGAAAAGCCGCAATGTTCATAAAAAATTTTTGAAATATTTTTAATAAGATATACAGTAGTTCCAATAATATTAATAGGCAGAAATTCTGTCTACATAAATATTAATTTAAGCTTTATAATGTCTTAAATACAAAATATTTTAATTAATCCCCATCACTAAAATAAATTTATTCGACAGTATTAATCAAAAATTGTATTAATTTAAGCTAAAATGCCACCCGAGTGGCTGAAATGCCATACTTATTCGAAGTATGCCCCATCTTCCTCTTTTTTTTTAAATTTTCCGAATTTTCAGTATTTTTGAACCTCAATGCCAAGATAAGATTTTTTTAGAAGCGAGTCTATTTTTAGGTTGAAATTAAAAATATATTTTTAAATTCATCTTAGAAAAATTATCTTATTACCTCAAAAATAGACTTTTATCGGGATTCCGACCTAAAATCGGTATCGCGATTCAGAAAATCCCGCCCGATGTTGGTCTGGGTCCCGATACCGGCCTACTCAAAAGTCGCATAACTAATTTTGCCACAAATTTTGTGTGAACATCATTTTACTAGTCTGTCTAGAGGTTAGACAGAAAATTTAAAATAATCTGTAAGTTTAGGGTATTAATGATGATATTAAAAATTGCTAGGCAGAAATTATTTTAAAATAATCTGCATTAAATAATTTAAATCCTAATTAATTTCCATCATTTTTTAATGATAATATTTACTATACAGATTACTAATAATTTTAATAAAATTTTACTTCCGTGTTTTTAACAAAATAATTTGCCCTCTATTTAAATATTTTCTAGTTGCTTAAATAATCAAAAAAAAAATAAATAGCTTTTTAATTTCTCTCTTTTTTTATTGCCAATTTACTTCCGCGTATTTTTATTGTATTCTTATTTTATTTTGCTTTTCTAAGATTCGAGACTTGTATGTAAAGTGCAAAACACGCAAACTGACGTGGCAAAAGCACAAACAAGGAAGTAATATTTTTGAGGTTGAAATGGGCGTGGAGGGAAAAAAATACATAAAAGTGAAAAGCGGCGCTATTTCCTTATAGAAAAGTGGCAGAATAAAAAAGAGAATAAAAGGGCGTGGTGGGAGGGGAGGGTTTTTTGGCCCGGGATAGTTTGGCGTTTTTGAGGGGCTTATATAATAAGGGATTTAAATGAGGATTCATCCCATAAAGTTTTTAAAAAGAAATTCTTCCACGGACAAGACTGGGGATAGTGGATCCGGACTAGACTTCATGGACTACCTAGATTAGTGGTAATAAATACGGGATCTTAAAGTCTGGATATTCGAAACCATTTAGCCCATGTATTCTTATACAATTTTCTAGGACGTTCGGGGTTGATCAGAATATTACGGATTCATATTGTAAAATTTGACCTGCTACGGTCTTTATTTACGATCATTATCTAATAGTTTATGAGAGCGTATTTGTCTCCCTACTATAAAATATCCAAGAAAAATTTTCTCAATTCGAGGTAGGGGCTTCATTTTTATAGCCAACGCGCTATTGTTACTACGCCATAACGTCCCCACCCCGTGACAGCTTGTAACAAAGGACAAATAAATAAAAAGCGGAAGTAAAAAATGTACTACTTACAGACAAAGAGTTCATTTTTCTGAGCTTTTGGCTTTAGTGTTATATAAAAAACGGCGAAATAAATAATTATCTTTATATTCCATATTAAAATTTTAATATTTACAGTACACACTTTCTTTTATTTTTTCTCAAAAAAAACTTCCTGTTTAAATGTAAGGGATTATTTAAATCTTCACTCTGCTAGTAAATAAATATTAACTTCTAGTGCTTCATCTATTATTTTTAGATTGAGAAACTAAATTTCATTTTGAATAAAGTTATTGAAACTTTGTTCATGATCCAATGGCACAAATTTGGAAGGAACATTAATGTAGAGCTGCGCTCCGTAGACGGCTCTTTCTTGAACGTTTTTTCACAATCATCCCCGACCCGAACCTCGCCCAAAGATTTTTTAAATTTCCGATATTTAATTTAATTTTTAATTTAATTTCCGATGCCACAATCCGCAAGTCTAATTTTAAAACAGATTAGGACCAATCTGTTATGGCAACTGTTATTATTAATAACAAATATTATAATTTTTATAATAATTATTATTGTTTAAAATAATAGGTATCTAACAATAACATGACTAGACCATTGTTATATTTATTAAAATGTCAACCTTAATCACACTCTTTTCAAAAAAATATTTTCTTAATTCACCAATTAATTAATTCATTAAATTATAAAATACAAACACACTTTGGGTTCATCTCGACATTAAATCTTTTTTTTCTTTCATTTTCACCAAATTAACACCAAAAATACACTCATATTAAATGGTTGCCTGCATGCACTTTGTTATTGTTTTTGTTTGTCACCCTTTTTTACTTCCTGTTTTGCATTAAAGTACAGACATTTAAATTGTTAATAATCACATTTTTGGTATTTTTAAAGTAAATATTTTTAATTATTTTGGGCGTTAATTTATTTGTTTTAGATAAAAAATGGGTTTTCTGCAATTTAATTAATTTTTTTATCAAAAATGTATTAATCTTTCCGACTATAAATAGGTCACATCATACACTTAAATGCACCCATTAATGAAATTGAGAAAATGCCATGCATGTATTAATATGCCTTAAATATTTATTTAAATCCTTCGTTAAATTTTCTTCATGTTTTCTAAATTTAATTTAGTATGAAAAATTATCTGGCTAATTTTTTCAATATTTGGTACTTTATGGATATGTCACCCCCCTCCTATTTTGAGTCTCAGAGTTTTCCTTAAACGTAGAAAATGGTCAGAGATTATTTTCTTCTCCATGCTAATCATTTACTTTCTTCAAGCAAAATAAGTGAAATGTGGTAAATGTAGAAACGAAATGAGTGAAATGTAAGTACAAAATATGTGAAAAAGGCAAAATAAACAAGCAAAATACTTGAAGAAGGCAAAATGATTGACATGGAGAAGAAAATAATCTCTGACCATTTTTTACGTTTAAGGAAAACTCTGAGACTCAAAATAGGAGGGGGGGTGACATATCCATAAAGTACCCAATATTTTTGATAAAATATTAACAAAGCTGACTCACGATCAGAGACTTTCGGACTGCGGATTTTAAAATTAAACAGACCTTAACTCCATCTATAATTTTTATACAACCAAAAATTCTGAAAATTAAAAAAATGTAGATGTCCCAGTTATGGAAGGCTAACTGAAGTTGATAAATTTAGGTTCATATAGAAATCCTAATGGACCGTTGAGTAAGGCCATATCGCGCATTATCGTCTCTAATTTCTTCCTCTTATTTCTACATCAGTTTAAAATATTTTCTTTTTAAAGATATTTAATTAAAAAATAAAAATTATGCTTATTAAAACGGCCAAATGCTTAGTTTGTGGAGCTAGAAATGCCAAACAACATTATGGTAGTTGGTGTTGTAATGGGTGTAAAGGCTTCTTTTGGCGTACAATTTCGTGCCGTCGAAATTATATTTGTTTAAATGTTAACAACAATTCTGTTTTTGTTAAATGTGAAATTGAGCATGGTGAAAAAATTAAAAAATTTTAATAACTGGAAAAAATTTTCAAGGTCGTCGAAATAGTTGTAGAGCCTGCCGTCTTGAGCGATGCTTAAAAGTTGGGATGGATCCAAATTGTAAGTTTAAAAATAAGTTTTTGAGGAAGGGAGGTTTTATAATCTACCTGTCTACAAAATTTCATCCCTAAGTCCCACGGACACCTTACATACTATTCACTTTTGTAAGGGCAATGTCTTATGAAACTATTATGTTAAAATACCTCTAATTCAACATTAGTTCAATTTTATCAGTTAAAATAATATTTTTAGTGATTAGAGACAGCTGGGGAAAAAGTACAGCTTTGCGCTCTCGAGACGAAAATTGGGATGGGACTGGTCCAAGTCAACGAGCTTTTACATTACCGGAGACAGAAATGAAAAAGGCTAGAAGAATGGAGAAGAGGCAAAGAAAATCTGAAATTAAAGAATCTGAGGGATTGGCACCTAAAAACGAGCCTGTTGGAATTTCAATGGTTTCGAGAAATACAGAGGAAACCAATTCTGGCTTACCTAGCCAAGGACGAGTTAAATTACTCAGTGATTATCTTGAATGGATACAATCTTTGCATGAATTGGAATTGTTTAATGAACAGGAGAAGGTGCCAAAAGGCCCAAAAATTTCTTGAAATTTCGTAAAAAATTTTTTCAGAATTTCATCGTTATGGGCCGTTCAAGGCCTTCTGGATGGTTGTTATTGGCCAGTCAATTATTATTCCCAACAGAACAAAAACAAGAATCTCCTCCAATATCTTTACTTTTACTAAGTACTTCCAAAATGGAGGTTCTAAAAACTGAAATTGTTAATCCAATTCGGGAATTAAACGTTAGCCGATTGGAATTTGAATTGCTTAGATTGATCTGCTTTTTTAGTCCAGGTAACCCTTGACTTATATTTGAATACTAAAATTTATTTTTAGTTCCACAATTGAGCGCGGAAAGTAAAAAAATTGTGCAAGCTATTCAAAACAGTTATTCAAGCTCTCTAAGTCAATATTCTCTCAGAAATTCCATCTCTTCCTTAATTATGCCAATCTCATCCAATTCTGACCCTTTTGCTGGGGCAATGTCCAGAATAACTCGAATTGTTCATCTATTGTCTGTTGTTGAGGTAACCTTTCCTTCGATACATTTAAAATTATTTCGTTTATTTTTCAGAGAATTTCATATCAATATGAGTGAATTGAGAATAATAAAATCAAAATCAACAATATATTCGATCATTTAAAATAACTTTAAATTTAAATTTTTTATCGACTCTTGAATGTTCTCATTTATATTTTTTATTCATTATTTTTTTATTAAAGATTTAAAATTTTTTTGAATGAATATTCATTAAGACGGTTAAAATGACCAGTTTAATCTTTAAATTTAGAATTTTCTATATCGACATCATAGTAGATTCTTCCGTATTTGGAGTCCTAAATTTATATTATACGGACTAATACCGGAGCGGATTAATCCCAAGAAAGTCGGCCTGGCCAGTTTATTTTTTTCATCTGTTTTTTTCTCAAGTACCTAGTCAGAAATCCCATTCAGCATCCGGAAGAATTTTACAAATCACTAAGCATTTATAAATTAAATATCCGCTAGTTTACTGTAACTGTTAACAAATCAGAAGACGTTAAAATGGCGTCGACTATTTCTCAAAGGCGTTGAACCGTCCTACTTGAAAAATTAATCAAAATAATTTTTTTAAAAATTCTTTCCGTTTTTCTAAAAATTTTAATAATTTTTTTAGAATTATAAAAAGGATCTCTTGTAAAAAAATGGACGGGCATGGACACGGACATCATGGTGGGCATTGTTCAAATATAGCCACAAATTTTGAGTATCATCAACAGGGAATGCATTATACAATGGATAAAGTGATTAAACAACTAAAAAAATATTTAAAAATTTCAACAAAATTTTTTTAAGTTTATCAATAAAGAAAATGTTATTGTTCTCAATGAAAGTGTTGAAGGTTCTGGTGTGAAAGTATTTAAAACTTGGGCTGATCGGTTTGACAAGTGAGGTTTTCTTTTCTTTAATTTTTCTTTTTAAAATAGTAAGGGTGCTTTGGCGTTATCCCTACGGACATTTTAGTTAACTTTTTCGGATGAATTCAATTTTTATATTTTCCCCCAATATTTCCCCCACCAAGCAAATTTTAATTGGCGACTGGCATAGGGATGAAAAAAAATTTATCTGAAAAAAGTTTGAGGAGATATCGGAAGAGTACTAAAATAGGTTTTGGTTCAATAAGAACTGGATTTCTTTAGATCATTGACTCTAACTTTATTTAATTATCTGGATCCTGCTTTCTAGTTTACTAGTGACTGGGGGAGGGAAACTGCATAAATACTCTTTACCTCTTCATCTGATTTATTTTTTGTTAAATTTTCCTGTTTCCCAATTTGTGGAGTTCTAAAAATTTTTTGAGTTGCCAACCTTCTCATAACTTATTTTTAATTCTATGTATATTGATTATTTCATCGTATGGGGATTGTTTTTCTCTTCCTTTCTTGTCCTTTTTTTTAATTTAAAATTTTTTCAGGAACGATATTGTTCACAGCGATGTCGACGAACAATTGCTTTTTTCTGTTCCTTTTACTGGTTTTTTATTTAAATTTTTTATTAAAAATAATTTTTTCTAAATTTTAGCCAATGTTAAACTTACGGGAATTACATTTTCTGGGCCGTTGAGTGGTTCGTTTCCAGCAACTGTTCGGCTTTTTAAAGATCGAGGAAATGTTTGTTTAATTTTTATCGTTAAATTAGTAAAGTTAAGTTGCTCTTACTATGAGTTTCTTTTTGACATCCTCCGACAAGGGCGGTCATAAAATTTTTTTAAGCCCTATTAAGAATTTTTTGAGGAAAGTCTTTTTGCATTTTCAGCCTTCCCCACATTTTATTTCATTTTCCGATAAACGTTGAGATTACTGGTCCCTGAAATGAATTAAAATCATCGAAAGTGGTTTTTCGATGATTTTAAGGTTATCGAAAACCCACTTTTTTATATTTTCTAGGGACCAGTTGACTTCACATTTACCATTTTCCCATTTGTTTATCATGCTGATTTATAGCTTCAAAAATTTTTTCCTTTTGTTTTGTTAAATTCTTTCTAAAAAATTTTTCTTTTAGATGTCTTTCGATGACTGTGAAAATGCAAAAGAAGATCAACAAATTGAGTTAAAACAAGATTCTGATGCTTCTATTGACTATCCTTTGATGTCCAGTAAATTTAATTCTGTTGGCCATTTAACTCTTTATTTTCCTGCAAATTTTGGGGACGAGAAAACGATTATTTATGTTTGTTTTTTTAATTTTTTTTCATAAAATATTTTGGGGTGGTTCTTTGGTTTATCTTTAGTTACCTTTCAGCCATCAGTCTCGAATTTCGTGTGGATTTTTTGGCAAATATTTTGGGGGTTTCTTTGACCAGATTCTTAACCTTGAGTCAAGGAAAAGTCAAGGAATACTAAAAAATATTTTAATCCCGACTCTGGATCCAAGAAAAGTCATGGTCTGGATCCAAATCCAAACCCATCTCTTCTTTATTCTTTAAACTTTTTTCCAAAATAAAAATTATTTTTTAAGTATATTGGTCTTCGAGGTGAATTTCAATCAGAATTTCGAAATAAGGTTAATTTTTTTAATTTAAATATTTCTTTTAATTCCCCAATCTTTTAAAGATTGTAATTGCAACATATGAAGCTCGTCCAGTTCCAGATGACCATAAAGCTGGATTGCGTGATATGGTGAATCATCAAGTGTGCTGATTATTTTGAATTTAACGAGTTGAGCTTGAAAATTAAAAATTTTTTGGGTATTTTTACGAAATTTTTCAAGACCTAAAAATTTTTGAAAAATTTGAAATTTTTCGGAAATTTTTTTATTTATATCTTTTAGTTTAAAAAGCGTCAAAGATTGCTGATTAGATGTAAAAGCGTTTAAAAAATAAGCGGAATTGTAAATTATTTTTTTGTTGCTTAAATAAATGTTTGATTATTTTAAAAATAAATTTGTTTATTAACAAACACAGATATTTTATGTATTTTATTTTCATTATTTTTACAGTGGAATCTCTCTATAACGACACTTATTTGGTCAGCTATTCTGTCCTGAAGGAGTATTTTAGTCTATTTGACTCTCTATAACGGTTAAAACAATGTCGGTGTATAGAGACTCCATTTTTTGACATTTTTGCTTCTATTTTTCATTCTTTTTAAATTTAATCGAACAAATTCCCATTTTAAAACTAGAAATCCGTAGATCGGTTTAAAAACTGTTATATTTCTTTTGCCATTTAACAATATTTGTTTCAGAGTTCAAAAATTTGCGCTATTTGGCATAATGCAAAATATTAAGAATAAATGACACTTCATCCCAAAATCAATAATCGATTTTTATTGTTTCATTTGGAGTCCTCTCTTGTCAATCTTTTTCTACAACAGAATGCGTGGTTTTTCCTTTTTGGGAATTAACCTTTTTAGGGGGGAGGGTAGTATTAAGTTGCGGACAAGACTTGCAATTTTTCAATTTTTGAAAAATGCATCCAATTTTTTCAGTGCTTCAGCAGCAGCAACAACAACAACAAACAACTTCAACAGCAGCAGCAACAACATAAGTCCCATGTATCGCTTCGGCGGTATATGGGCACAAGTCCCATGTATCGCTTCGGCGGTATAGGGCACAAGTCCCATGTATCGCTTCGGCGGTATAGGGCAAAAGTCCCATGTATCGCTTCGGCGGTATAGGGCACAAGTCCCATGTATCGCTTCGGCGGTATAGGGCACAAGTCCCATGTATCGCTTCGGCGGTATAGGGCAAAAGTCCCATGTATCGCTTCGGCGGTATATGGGCGATGACTTCAACTCCAATGCTCTCGTCTACATGGTAGCTTTTTTACTTAATTTAAATTCGCAAGTTTTGTCCGCAAGGTTCCTCCCCTAAATAAGTTTATCCTTTACAATGTTAAAGCCAATTAAATGTTGGCCAAGTTCTTGTCAAATGAGAAGGCGTACATCAAATGTTCCATTGGTTAGATGCATTGATTTGGTTGTTTTGGATAGTTGATCTTTTTATCGGTTGTTTTTATTTTTTAATTTTTTTATTTACTTAGTTTTCAGCTTTGCGTGAGTATCCAGAAGTCTTAAAAATTTTTAAGAGGTTATTTTTAATTGTTTACTATGGTTTCAAGATTATTTTTTAGGCCGGTGAATTGTTGCGGAAAGACTCTTTTTGATGAGAATGCTTTGGAAGAATAAGAATCAGAAGAAAAAATGACCGAAGAACTGCAATCTTTTGTTAGAATTCAGAAAATTAGGTTTGTAAATTAATTGATTAATTTGATTATTAGGTTTCCATAATTGTTTATATTTTTCAAGTTCTGTCCATTTTGGAGCTTACTAATTTAAAGAATCTCTGTCATGGGTGTTTAAATCTCCGTCCGGTTGCTTCCCTTGGGTATTGTGACGTGGGGAGATTTTTGTTTGTCTATCCGATTTCGACAAATTATAAGTCATTAGAAAAAGCTCGTCGAGCTGACATGAGTCGATTTGGGATAAATGGTTTTGGCCATCCAATAAGTCAAGGGCGTATCCAGTGTTTCGACTTTGGCAGCCTCAGTACGAAAGAAGGTCCAAAGACGAAAAAACGATGAAACGGAAGTACAAAGAGATAAAATCTAAAAATATTAAAAAATTCCATTAATCATAAAATTCCCAAGTTTAAGATTTTATTTCTTTTTTTTATTATTCTTCCATTAATTATTGCCGTTCCCTTAAGATTTCCACAATAATATATTTGTTACACTAAAATTTCCCTCTCTTTTCTCTAAATACTTTTGACCTTCGTTCACATATAAAATGTAGTAATCGGCGCTCATAGGCGTTCTTTTTACCAATCACTTTTTTTTCAAAAAAGATTTTTCCTTTTTTTCTAAATTGATTCTTCCTTTTTTTTATAATAAAAATTGGCTTTAATAAATAAATTATTTTTTGAATAAAAATTGTTTGGAAAAAGGTTGGAAGAAAATTAATCGAATAAAAAATTATAGAAATTTCAAAAGAAGAAATTTCTCGTTCCAAAAAATTGTTATTGGAACAAGTGGCGAGCACTGACAACAAAAAAAATAATAACGACCTGCAAATTTATTTGGAAACAACAAAAATAATAAAATTCTCCTTAAAATAATTAGTGGATTGATTGAGCAACAACAAAAAGGTAGTTTAGTGTCCTTTCAAAAAAAAAAAATAAAATAAAATTTTTTGTTTAAATTTATTTTGAAAAATTAAAAGAAATTTAAAATAAATAAAAATGAGTAAACCGCTGAAGCTTTTCACAAAAAGAGCTTCGGAAACGGTACAAACGCTACTTGAGCGAGAGGTTCCAAAAGAACCTGAAGATTCTGAACAAAATTCAGAATTCTTCCTTGATGTTTGCGAAACACTCGACCAGCTAAATACAGAAATTGAAGAATTAGCAGAAGCCTACAACGATTTAAAAGAAGCAAACGCGAAATGGATTTCGCTAATTCAAAGAGGGTCGCAAGCAGAAAAACAAACGCTCGAAAAAGCGTATGAAGAAGTAGCAGAAGACTATAATATCGAAGAGCGTCTAAATGAAGCGGAAATAAAATTAAGAAGTCTAAAAGATTTAGAAAGGAAGTTAAAAACTGAAAAAAGAAAGGAAGAAAGAAAAGAGAAATCGATAATTAATTCTACAACACAAGTACAACAAGCTCTTGGATTTAGTTTTAAGCCACCGAGGCAAGAAATTGGAAAATTCTCGGGTAGGCAGATAGACTGGCCCGAGTGGTGGCAAATCTTCAACGCTACAGTACACGAGACCGACGGAAGTGAAGAAGTAAAACACGCGGTTCTCAAACAATGTGTACTGGGAGAAGCAAAATCACTTATAGAGGGATTAAAATTAAGTGATTATGAAGTAGCCATCGATTTACTCAAACAAAGATATGGAAATGAGGAAGAATATACACGGCATTTACACACACAATTAGAAAGTTTAAAAATTTGCCAAAATTTTCAAGATTGTAAGAAATTCTCGTTAGATGTTGAAAGAATATGCCGCCTTTTGGAAAATAACGACCAAAACATCTCAGGCCAAGGAATTTGGATGAGCTTAGAAAAAAAGCTCACAATTCCCATTTTGCGCGAAATTCAGTCAAAGAAGGCGATTGTTAAAAGTAATGAAGCTTTATGGGACACAACAGCTTTCAGAAAAGCTTTGCGTGAAGTAATAGAGAAAGAGGAACTTGTCCTCTCCATTCACGCAAAATCAAACGAAAAAGTTGAGCAAAATACCATAAAAAGCCAAAGAAACTTCCAAAATGTAAGAAGAAATAATGAAAAGGAAGTAACAAGAACATTCGCAAATACTGAAGCAAAAAATAAAAATTTTAACACACGCGCAAAATATAATAAAAACAACAACAACCAAAACCAAAATAAGCCTGAAGGTGGGAGGAGAGCCCCAATATACCCTTGTATATTTTGTGGAAAAAAGGGACATTGGGGGGATGAATGCAGACAAACTAGCACAGCGAAGGATCGCCGGCAAAAATTAATTGAATTAAGAAGATGTATTTTTTGCATTAAACCAAAGCACATGGGGAATTGTAGAAGACCTATCAGATGCTTCCACTGTCAAGAAAGGCACAATACGGCACTTTGCGAAAAAACTTATAAGGAAAATAATATAAAAATTGAAGGAAATGTTTTGCAAAATTTGGCGCTTTTACAAAAGCCGCGGCAAAAAAGAATTTTGCTATGCCGTGAAGCCGTTATATTTAATCCGTCTAGTCCCGAAAAAAGGACAACTGGAATGGTATTTATCGATTGTGGGTCCCAAAGATCTTACATTCGAAAAGGAATAGCGCAAAAATTAGGCCTGCGTACTTCTCAAAAAGAGGTACAAAGGATCCAACCTTTTCCGGCAAACAGGTCCCCGATAATTGAATTTCAGGCAGAAATATTCAGATTAGGGATCGAGAAATGCAGAAACGGGCAAATGTTTGTAGAAGTAGGGCAGTTGGATAATTTACACAGCTTGATCACCCAAATGCCTGTGGTTTTGGCTCCCGAGGACGAGCGCGAATTGGATCTAAAATCCAACAAAATACCGCATTCCGTAGTCGAACCGGACGTCCTATTGGGAGTTGAATATTTCTTCGAATTAAATATAATTCGAAAGAAAAAATTAAATTGCGGACTTTGGCTTGCAGACAGTGCGCTTGGCCCAGTAATAGGAGGGAAAGGACAAATTACCAACAGTAAATCTTTCCCTCCTATTGATCGTTCTAATGCAGTAATTACTGAAGAAAATGACTATGGAAATGAAACATTAGAAGATAAAATAGATAAAATGTATTCGCTTGACGGAATTGGCATAGGCGACGCAACCAATCAAAAATTGGACGAAAAAATAAGAAATGAATTTGAAGCTAAATTAACGTTCCAAAATGGACGTTATGAAGCAGGCTGGTTGTGGAAAGACCCGTGCCCAAAATTACCAAGCAATTACCGTATGGCCAAAGCAATGCTTTTAAATCAAATAGAGGAAAAACAGAAGAAAAATCCGCACCATTTAGCGCTTTATGAACAAACATTTGCTGACCAAGTGGAAAAAGGTATTATCGAAGAAATACCCAGAAATCAAGATGATGGTGGACAAATTCACTATCTGACACATTTCCCGGTTGTGAGAGAAGATAAAACTTTCACAAAATTCCGAATCGTTTTTAATGCAAGCGGAAAAAGCCGGAAGGACAATCCTTCTCTAAATGATTGTCTTCACCAAGGCCCCGTCACAATACAAGATTTATGCGGGTTACTTATGCGATGTCGTCTACCCACGTATTTGATAGCTGGAGATTTACAGGCAGCTTTTTTACAAATAAGCTTGCGACCAGAAGATAGGAATTGCGTACGATTTCTGTGGGTTAAGGACGTTAAAAAACCAGCCTCGTCACAAAATGACGATGATTTAAAAATATTCCGTTACGCCAGAGTAACGTTTGGCGTAAATTGTTCTCCCTCTATTTTAGGAATGACTGTAGACTATCATTTAGCCAAATATGATAGTTCCACTGCTAATAAATTGAAAAAGGCAGGCTACGTCGACAATTTCTTAATCGGAGCAGAAGAAGAATCGGAAGTTGAAAAAGATATTTTGGAAGCGCGGAAAATATTTCAAGAAGCCGGATGGAACTTTCGTGAAATATTTACAAACGCGACCAAACAATTGAATGCCATACCTGTTGATAAGCTTCCAATAGAAGCAAGGACGACTAATTTGCATTCTAGCGCTAAACAAAAAATATTAGGTATAACATGGGATACATTCTATGATGCTCTATCTTTAAAACTCCCTATACCAAAAATAACTGAAGAAAAGCAATGGACAAAAAGAAAAGTCCTAGCAACTATAGCTGAATGTTTTGACCCTTGCGGCCTTATTTCACCCGCTCTTCTAAAAGGGAAATGGCTATTGCAAAAATTATGGGAAGCGAAACTTCCTTGGGACAATGATTTACCCGAGGATTTAAAAATTGAATGGGAAGAAATTGCAACAGAATATCTAAATTGTAGCATTATTAAAATACCCAGAAGAGTTATCTCGTGGAAATTAACGAAAGTACCAAATTTCCAACTATGCGCCTTTTCTGATGCTTCAGACAAAGCTTTAGGATTTACGATCTATCTTCGCTCTCAAAAAGATGCGAAAATAGAATCGACTCTAATTTTTGCTAAAAGCAGAGTAAAGCCTAAAGCGCAAATTGGCAAATGCGAAGCAAAATTAACTATTCCCAGAATGGAACTCCATGCAGCCTTAATAGCTACTAAAGCGTTGGAATATGTTGAAAATATGCTCGACCTAAAAATTAATAAAAAGATGTTGTGGACTGACTCTCAAACAGTCATCCACTGGCTAAAAAGCCCATCGGAGCAAGAACCATTCATTGAAAGACGTTTAAGGCCTATTCGAAAAAATATTGTCAAATACATCCGAACCGAAGAAAATCCGGCGGATATGACTAGTAGGGGAATTACTCCAAGCGAATTGGCCAATAATGCTCTATGGTTTAAAGGCCCAGAATTCCTTCATGAAGAAGAAGCAAATTGGCCTAAAACTGAGATCGAATATGTGCCAGGGGAGAGGATAGAAAAATTTAATCCTCAACCTTTCCATGAAATGTGCCTTTCGACAATAGAAAAAGCACCATTAATAGAGCACCATCGATTTTCTAAAATAAATAAATTAAAAACAACATTAATTTTTGTCTTCCGAGCGTTAAAACAAATTTGCCTGAAAAAAGAAAATATAAATATAAAAAATGAATTCTTCTTAAAATTAAAAGAAACTATGGCCAATTCACCAGGAACAATTAAACCAGAAGAAATGAAATTGGCTGAAATATTTTTATTAAAAGAAGCTCAAAATCTATACCCTCCCTCTGAAGATACAAAACAAAATTTATTATTATTTAAAGATTCAGAAAAATTATGGAGGAGTAAAGGAAGAATTGAATTAGGCAATCTCGATGAGGAAACAAAATTTCCTATTTGGTTGCCTAAGAATGCCATTTTAACTGAATTAATAATAATGGAGGTCCACGAAAAAATGGCCCATGCAGGAACCAATACGGTATTGGCCTGTTTGAGATTAAAATATTGGATATCTCGGAAAAAAGTCCAGGATGTCACCAAAAAGTGTCAAATATGTAAGAAATTTTGGATAAAGCCATACAAACAACCAGCGTTTCCGACACTGCCTGCGATTAGAGTTAACCAATTTCGACCCTTTATGCACACTGCGGTTGATTATTTTGGACCTCTAACCGTGAAACAAACAAGTGGCGATAAAATAAAAAGATGGATAGCTGTCTATACGTGCACTAGTACTAGAGCTATTCACCTAGAAATTGCTGAAGACCTATCCGCCCAAGCCTTTTTACAAACTTTCAGAAGATTTATGGCTCAAAGAAAAAAGCCAGTTCTGATGATTTCCGACAACGGCACAAATTTTAAAGCCGCGGAAAAAACTCTACAAATAATTTGGAAGGAAGTAAAAATTCAAAAATTCTCTTCTGATCACGAAATTAAATGGATTTTCGTGACGGAAAGAGCTCCATGGAAAAATGGACTTGTAGAAAGGATGGTAGGACTGGTAAAATATTCTCTAAAAAGAACAGTTGGAAAAAGGCTGTTGGAAGAGGAAGAACTTCGTACATTAATAAGCGAAGTACAAAATGTGGTAAATTCCAGGCCACTCAATTTTATCCCCGACTCAGAGCACATAATTCCCCTCCGACCAGTGGATTTTCTAATTCCTTATGAAGAAGGTAATTCGGAATTTCCTCATTTGCCCAAAGCAGATTTGGAAGACCCAGATTATCGACCCCAAAAAATGACTAATAAAGAAGAATTAGTCGAGGAAATAAGGAAGGCGTCCGACAGAATAAACAAATTCTGGGAAATTTGGACAACCGAATATTTGCTGGCACTGAGAGAGAGAAAAAATAATATCAAAAAGTGCCCCTCCGCAGAAAATCCCCCTAAGGCGGGAGATGTTGTCATCATCCGAGATGATGAAATAAAAAATCGTGGAGTTTGGAAGCTCGGAAAAATCGAGAAATTACTTCCGGGTGAGCGAACAGCGGTAGTAAAAACGAGTAAAGGAACTATGCGCCGCGCAGTCAACGATCTCTTTCTCTTTGAAGTAGATGAAAATGAAAAAATAATCCCAGAAAAAGCTGAGGAAATGGAGAATAAAAATAAAAATGATTTTTTAAAATTGAAAAATAAAAATAGAAAAATTACTAATAAAGAAATTTGTCAATGTAATTTGATCATTTTCAGGGAAATGGAAGACGAACATGTTTCTGATCTCTCTTTGGATTATGAAGAAGAAAAATTGAAAAATCAAAGTAATGGAAGTATTGATAAAAACGAAGAGCCACCAAAAAAGCAAGTTAAACAAAATTTTGATGATCGACTACAATCTTTTGTAAAGAAAATACAGAAACAAAAGGAAGCTGAAGAGAAAGTGGTTCGCAAACAGCCAGGTTCAGGTTCAATAAACTTAAATAAAACAAAACAGCAAAACTGTTTTGAAGGTAAAAAGGAAGAATGTACTAGCACTTCTAGGTTAATGAAGTTTCAACAACAGAATGGTTCGGAACCTAAAAAAGAAGGAAAGAAGGCCGAACTTAAAGAAAAAGACCCCTCCAAAAGAGAGGTCAAAAATGGAAAGCTCGTTTTGAATTTCGGCTGGGCTTTAATTAATGGTTGCCTACCTGGAGCGAATAGTCACAAGCGATGCTCGCAACTAACTCTCCGTAACGTTGTCGACATCGCTAGAAAGGATTCTGAAGCTATAAAAAGGGATTATCCACGTCTTCAGAGTAAGCCAATTCAGTCTTTAATCCAATTACTTCTGTGTTTCTGGACACTAATGAAAATGAGAAAAGACTGGTGGAAGAAGAAAAATAATAAAACAACGTCTTTTGAAGCGGGAATTGAGTTTATTGATGAAGTATTGAATGCAAAGAAGCCCGCGCAGATAATTACTGCTATAGAAAAGAAAAGAACTATAAATTTAGAAAGAGGTTGGCATCCAAGAGATTTAAAGCCAGCATTAGCTCTCTGGAAGGCTGCTTGTGAGTTAGCGGAGGAAGCATTTTCAAACAAACCTTGGCTTCCCGTTAGCTTGAGAGGGCAAGAAAATCCAACTGAAGAAGAAAGCTATGGATTGTTTTTAAAAATAGCTGAGCATTCTGAAAAAGCGCTCACATTTATGCGAATGGTTGAATATTATCCACGAGCTACTCCAATATACGAAGAGGTGATGATTGTTGGGGATAACAACGCGAAAATATTAACTGAATTCTTCCCTCAAAGTTTTTGTGCCGCACCAATAGCAGCGAATGAAGTTAAATATTTATTTAATGACTACTTACCACTCACACCAGCTCCTTATTTCACAACAATAATATGGATTGGCGGAGAAGTTATTGATGAAGGAGGACACCCTGAAGCTCTCAAAGCTCAATTAGAACCGCTTTGGAAAAAACTTGAATGCTTCAGCGGAACAGTCTATATTTTGCCACCTCCTTATAAACCAAGAGAAGTTGATTATTGGCAAAAAATTGTTGAAAATCTCAAAAAAGAGAGAAAAGAAAAAAGAGGTACAAAATACCTGGAAATAGAAACGGGCAGTTCAGAAGCCTTAAGAAAGAATTTAGTAGATGAAGAAGGAAGAATAACTAAAGAAGGGATAGAAGAAGTTGTACGAAAATTAAGGGCAGCTGATACTAGATTAGAACGACAACAAAATGCTCCTCCGGTTGTCGAAGAAGAGGAATCTGACTCGGAAATGCAAGAAGAAAGAGTCGAAAATAATTATAATCCAAGAAGAACCGTTTACGTACGTCGGTCGGATAATCAACAAAGAGGACGTCGTACGCCTAGGCGAGGACATTACATTAGAAATATGAGCCCCATCAGAAATGGAGGAAGACCGAATATAATTAATCGGCTCTCGTATGTTTCAATGAATTTGGTTATGCTTGGACTCGCACTTCTATCCTGCTTACCTGGCGTCCAAACAGGTGAGCCAATGATATGCCCTCATGGAATAACTAGCAAAATTTATAAAATAGATCAACACCCTTCTCATTGTGAAGAATTATTCGTCTCAGAAAGGCAAATAATCAAAAATATTGAACTGACAGTCTTCCGCCCTAATGACGTCACACAAGAAGTAAGTGGATTCCATTGCCTAAAAGTAATGGAAAAAATGACATATTATTTAAATTGGCTGGGATATAAAATAATTTCCCCCATTTTAAAGATTCAACTTAGCACCACCCGGGAAGAGTGCTTGAAAATGATTTACACCTCAAAGTGTAACACTGGCACAGATCAAATAATGGAAGGGGAAGAAGAAAATAAACGTACAAGAAATTCACTCAACCCTGAATTCTCTTATTTTTCGGGTGGCAAAGAGGTTTCAGTCATTAATTGTTTTTTGACAAAAATACATATATATTTTTCACCTAACCAGGAAAGGATTGAATCACCTTTGCTGGAATTGGGACACTGTCGACTGATCGACAGAGCTTGCCTCCTTGACGACCAATCGATGTTACTGTGGAATGCTCCAAAAGAAGAGCAAAGGTGTAACTTCAGAAGAATGGAAACCTTCAAAGGCTCAATGTATGATAAATGGTTCATGGCTAATGACCAAACTTTTTCTTTAAGTGTTACAAGTCCAGAACAGTTCATGGATTGTGGTAAAACAATGGTGAAGACAGACCAACTGTATGCTATTACTATGGTGGATTATCAGGCACATTTTGCGGTGACCAAAAGTCAACCGAAACGTTCCTTACCTGCTACAGAATTTAGCGGTAATAAAGAAAAAATAAAAAATTTGGGATTAGATGGGCAAATACACGTCTCACAATTTTCAGCGGGCGAAACGGCACAACGACTGACAACTGAAATGCAACTCAAACAGGCGTATAATCATTTGGCTAGATTCATGTGCCGTCAACAATCCGAAATAACTTTTCTCTCTTCATTAGACCCCACCATGATTGCTCGACAACGACTGTCAAATCCTTACGTCGAAGCAAATTGGGTAGCAGAAGAAAACAACCAGGTATGGTTGGAAGTTTGGTCTTGTTACCCCATAGATTGGCTAAAAATAAAGATTAGGCCTACTGGGAAAGAATGTTCAAAAAACATTCCAATAAATGTAACACTAGACGTGGGGAAGAGTGAAATGATGTTCTTGGACCCTTTAAAATTAATCATTAGAGCCGAGTCTGAAAAGGGAGCCTGCTCAAAATATGGCAAGCAAAAAATTAAGATAAGAGAGGCAATATACATAGTGGACCAAAAAACGGGAACATTAGAAAGAATTCCTGAAGAAAATATAATAACCACCCCAAAAGGGTTGGAATGGTCCCAAAAGCCGCCAAAACTGGATGCAAAAACATTTAAAGGGCATATTCTTACAAAATTAAGTAACCCTGAAAAATTAATGCTGGAGGCTTTTAAAGAATTTAGTCTGAGCCGCGATAGCAAGACAACTGAATTAGCCACAAACAATGAATTCGATGCAAAAATAGGCACACCAACCTTGAGCTTTTGGCCTTTCCGAGAAATTTGGGAAGATTTAAAACAAAAAATAATTACGACAGTATGCATAATCTGGGTAGTGATTTGGACCTACAAGATCATATATTTTATCTATAAACTTTGGTTGGTGGTAAATAGGCCAGACAAATCCTTAAAAAATATTCAAAAAATATTTTTAAAAAATAAATTTGAGGAAGAAGCCGTCTCGTCGTCAACACAGCAACAGCAGCCCACAGAGTCAAATCTTGCGCGCTTTGGGAGTGTTTCGACTTTGGCAGCCTCAGTACGAAAGAAGGTCCAAAGACGAAAAAACGATGAAACGGAAGTACAAAGAGATAAAATCTAAAAATATTAAAAAATTCCATTAATCATAAAATTCCCAAGTTTAAGATTTTATTTCTTTTTTTTATTATTCTTCCATTAATTATTGCCGTTCCCTTAAGATTTCCACAATAATATATTTGTTACACTAAAATTTCCCTCTCTTTTCTCTAAATACTTTTGACCTTCGTTCACATATAAAATGTAGTAATCGGCGCTCATAGGCGTTCTTTTTACCAATCACTTTTTTTTCAAAAAAGATTTTTCCTTTTTTTCTAAATTGATTCTTCCTTTTTTTTATAATAAAAATTGGCTTTAATAAATAAATTATTTTTTGAATAAAAATTGTTTGGAAAAAGGTTGGAAGAAAATTAATCGAATAAAAAATTATAGAAATTTCAAAAGAAGAAATTTCTCGTTCCAAAAAATTGTTATTGGAACACCAGTGAGCTTCTAGGGCTATAGCCCCCCCCCCCCTTGAACTTTGGAAAATGAACTCGGTCCCCTAAACGTCCGTTCGGCCTCTTCCCCCGAGCTATCGAATCAGCTCGCCGAGCTCTTTCGAATAACACCTCATTTATCAAAATCGGGTGTGCCACCTAAAACTCCCTGTGTCACAACATTCTTCAGTTTTTCGTTACTGTCCATTATTCCTTTTTAGACATTTTTTCACTTTTGGTCTATCGGTATTTTGTTAAGCTTCCCCTTTTCGACTTATCCTTTCCGACTTTTAGGCATTCTTTTCTATTTTTCCATTAGTTTTCTTAATTTTCATTTTAGTACTATACAAGCCTCGTCAATAACTTCAACAACCTCTTACCTATGGTCACCGTGGAGGTTTTTGCTGCTGCGGAGGAAGCCAGGCGTGCCGCCGCAGCAAAAATCGGCATAGATTCAGGGCCGTAGTTAGGGGGTAAAGAGAGAGGGGGGGGTTCTTTTCCTTTTTTAATTTAAAATTTTTGAAATTAAATTTTAATTTTTAGAAACGATATTGTTCACAGCGATGTTGACGAACAATTGCTTTTTTCTGTTCCTTTTACTGGTTTTTTTATATAAATTTTTTCTGTAATTTTTTTTTAAATTTTAGCCAATGTTAAACTTACGGGAATTACATTTTCTGGGCCGTTGAGTGGTTCGTTTCCAGCAACTGTTCGGCTTTTTAAAGATCGAGGAAATGTTTGTTTAATTTTTTTATTTTTCTCCCACTAGGGCGGTCATAAAAGGTTTCCGAGCCAAAAAATTTTCTGAAATTTCTTAGAAATTTTTTTGCATTTCCGTCCTTCCCCACATTTTATTTAATTTTTCCCATTTGTTTTATAATTCCAAAAAATTTTTTGATTTTGTTTTTTCAAAAAATTCCTTTGTGTTTCTTGCTTATCCCTAGATAAAAAATTTTTTTGTTAGATTCTTTTTAAAGATTTTTCTTTTAGATGTCTTTTGATGACTGTGAAAATGCAAAAGAAGATCAACAAATTGATTTAAAACAAGATTCTGATGCTTCTATTGATTATCCTTTGATGTCCAGTAAATTTAATTTTTTAAATTTTTTTTTGCTTAAAATAAATGTTGCATTTGTTTAAAGGTTAGAAATGATATTTATTAGCAAAAAACAGAATTTTACGTAAAATATAAAAAAATTTCTGGATATTTGAACTATTTTTTTTCGGTTCTAGATGCCCAAGACCATCAATCGTAATGACATTTTTTGCCAAAAAAATTATTTCATCTTTTACTAGACCAAAATTATTTTAAAAAACATGCCCATAAATTATCTGTCGGTTTTTAATTTTATTTTTTTTGTTGATTTTAATTTTAAAATTATTTATTCAAGTAGTAGTCCCTTTTAAATATTCAATTCTCCATTTTTATTAAAAAAATTTTTTTAAAGAAAAATAAAAAATTTTTTACCTGACCAACAAACAACATTCTTATATGTTGACTCAGACTAATCCCCTCTTTAAATTAAACACCTGTTTTGATCCAAAAATATTCGTTCGGTCACTCTTATACACGAAAATAATCATTCTAAAGCTTAATATATTTCTTGGCTATTTTTACAAATAAAAATAAATTTGTTAGTAAAAAGCACTTCATTTTTCTTATTTTATTTAATTTAAACTTGAAAAAGCAGCCTTCCTTCCCCTTTCTTCTCCCCGCAGGCATTAAGAAGGATCAATCAATCAATGGACTTAAGATTTGAGGAAGGAGATGGTACAAAGTGAGGAAGTAAAAAGAGCAGCATTTTTGTTATTCCTGCTTTAAAATTTTTTGAAAATAATTATTAACTAAAAGGCAATTGTTTAAATAAATTAAATTATTTTTGAGCTTTTTTAACACCTACAAACTGCCAAAAAAAAATACTGCCATGTTAACTGCCAAAAATAACCAACAGCTTATACCAACTAAAAATCCCCAAAATCTCGATTCTGAAATATTCAAAGGAGAAACTACAACAATCTCTACAATTGCAGTTCGTGCCGAGCCTCATTCTACTTTAGTTGTTGCTTTATTAAAGGTACTGTAATCATATTTTCGAGCTCGATGTTGGATTAATAGGGAAAATATGAAGATTAATAAAGTAATTAAAAGATAAAGCGCCATACCCACCTTATTATAAGGGTACAGATGCCCTTCTATTAGAATAAAAATGCCGTTTTATTGGAATAATTTAAAAATCACATTCTATCATTGTTAGAGCATCAATTACGTCGATTTCCGCATTGATGAAATGCAACCCGGCCTTTTAGAAATTGGTAAAAACCCTCAGGACAACACTCAACTGTTGCTAATACACACGGATTTATTTCAGAGATTACTAGAAAAACATCAACAAGTAAAAATATTTCTGAATTATTTTTGGATTTTTAAATAATTAAAAAGGTTGATGATTTACTTGCTCGAGCTGAGCAAATAGCTAGTGAACAGACTGAAGTAAGTGATGTAATAGTTTATGAGGCAATGGCTAATGGGTTGGCTACTGCTTGGAGAGGTCTGAGCAGGTAATATTAAAAGTAGTTTGGGATAATCTCGATGATTTAAGGCAACTAGAAATGCGTGGATATATTTTATCTGATACAAAACGATTGTACGAATTAGCTTTAAAACAAGAAGAATTAGCAAAATTGCTCAATTCTCGACTTCAATCAACTAAAAATAAAGTTAAAATTGACTCGCATGAAACGATAATTGACGGCAAGTCAGCTTATTATATGAGTTGATCCCCGTTATATGTAACTCCTACACATATGCCTTTATCATTTAGACCCATGAACAGAACCTTTGTAAAGATAGGTAGAGAGTATTTTGTTGGAGGTGTAATGAAATTCCGGATGTATATTTATTCAGGATTTAAAGTTGTAGACCTCAATAACTATTAGAGTTAACATAAAAATATTCAAGTTTAAGAAAATTTTGTTCAATTTCTCTCAATATATTTATTTTTGGACTAATAAAAAATGCTCTTTATGCACTGATTACTCTTTAAAATAATAAAAATCAATCGTGAAATTTGCGAAATAAAAATAAAAAATTTAACAAACGAGGCTATAAAATTTATTATTTAATTTTAAATCAACCCTCACAATTTTTCCTCGCAACATAAATTAAAATAAATTTTTTACTTAAAAAATTTCAGAATTAGGTGAATTAACTAGTGAAGGAATGAGTGTTGGATCTAATTTGATTACTCAAATAAGGCTTCTCGGTTCCCTCTCAGACAATGATCAACGGCCAAGGGAGACTTATGAGGCTTGTTTGCGTATAGAAAAAGTCATGTTAAAGTAAATAAATTTTTATTATGGGTGGGCATTGCCATACCGATTAATCGGGTAGTCGTGATCATCACCTTCTTTTACCATAGGAAAAAACAGAAGAGTACTAAGATTTTCAATTCAAAAGGGGTATATAATAGTGAGCAGGTTCGATCGGAAATGATGAAGGTGCCGGAAATTCCGGGAAAAAGGTTCCGAAAAAATCGGAAATGGTTCATAAGTCGAAAATCAGCGTAAACTTTCGAAATAAAAATTCCGATCGACCCCTAATAATGAGGTCCGATCATACTATAATAAACAAAAGTTGATATAAATTTCCTTACTAGAATGGCAGAAAGTTGGGAATTACTAAATGAGGCATGTCGCAATTTAAAAAATACTTCAGAAGAACCTCAACTATTACCTTCACATATAACCCAAACTATAGAATCTAAACAAATTCAACAACAAATAACTAAAAATTTTGATATTGAAATTCAAAAAAATCAGTTAGATAATGCAGAACAATGGTTAATTGAAACTAGACGAATGTTTGAAAGTATGGAAGAAAGCAAAATTTTAAAATCACTTGAAGAACAAACTAAAGTATGGTGGTGAATTTTTATCAGTGAGCTTTTTCCCGGATCCGCAAACTGATTTTGAAGTTCGGGGTGATGTCGGATCTGGCCTGATTTTTCTAGATTAATCCATTACGGTTTTAATTCGGCAAAATAATTTCTGGACTACAGCTGAATTTACCCTAATTCCATATCGGATCAGGGTGTTTTCATGAGTGATAAATAATTTGTTTATTGAGCAAACTACAAAAATTTTCAGAATAGTTTTAAATGAAAAAAATCCTAGTCCACATAAGATTTAATAAAAAGCATTGAAATTTTTTAAAGGAAAAACTGGAAGAATTGAGGACATTTTCTTTAACAGAAAATTATTCAGAATTCGAATTAATAAACAATAAATTACAACAACAATATATTAAATTAATTAATGATATGAATATAAAAATTGAACTTTTGGAAAAAACTGAAAATTGGTATTTAATTGCTGATAATGTAAGTTTTAAGTTGTTAGGGTAATACTGATCGAGATAGTCTCTAGAACTAAAGTTCACAAGTCAGGCATCCCATAATTGGATTTTTTAACGGGGGGGGGGGGGGGGGGGGGGGTTCTTGACTGTATTCTGATCGTGAAAGGAATCCAAAAATAAAAAAATATTTTTTGGTTATAAATTATTTTAAAAGTATATCCTTTTATTAAAATACTAAATCTAATCTCTCTTGATCGAATAATTTATTTAGTAATTAATCATTCTTAAAAGTAAAATTATATTACATTTTTGGAAGAGAACACACTCATTTATTAAATTCCTTCTTTTGAATAAAATTATTTTAAAAAGATTTTTTTAATTTCAAAAATTCAAATCACCTTATAGTTAATTTCCCAACTCGAAAAAATGTTGGGAGAATTAAACATTGCCAATGAATCAATGGCTGCAGAACTTGGACCTCTTGCACAACAAAAAGGTGTTGTACTTGTAGAACAAGGGGAACAATTAATTTTACAATGGAAAGGAGAAAATAAAGAAGACATTTGTATTAATCAAAATATTTGTGAAAGAATTGCTCAAAAAGTTCAACAACTTAAAGAAGCTGTTATTGCTGTTGTACAATTGGCTAGAGAGAAGATTGGGGCTAGTAAAGCTCAGAAAGTAGTTGAGAAGGTGAATTAACCGTAAACTTTCTATAAGGGCATGTCACGTACCATAAAGTTTGTGGGCATACACACGGCTTCCTCAAGGTCTCTCTGGTTGTGAGTTCACCTGAGTGGTCAAGGTCTCCTCTCTGTTTGGGAATTGACACTGCGTGGGCTTAGAACGAAGGATTAACTATCCTCTGAACAAGCTTCTGATAGAAGATTTAAAAATATTATTAAGCTAACAATATTGGACAAATGGCTCAATACTGTTGCTAATCCATTCTTATCTGAATCACTCATTCTCAGTCCAATAGCTGCTGAAACAACCGAATTCACTGCCAAACATAAAAGTTTCCTAACAGAAATAACGGTGAATTTAGTTAAAATTTTTGAGGTTTTCTTAAACTTTAGGAAAACGAAAATCTTCTAAAAACAGTCCAAAATCATCAAAAACATTTGGATTCTAACCAACTCGAGCAATTAATTAATATTCAAAGAAAACTGATTTCTTATAAAATAATAGTCGAAAAACGACTGGAATTGGCTTCAAAATTAGAACAAGTTTTGTTTAATTTAAAACCCCTTAAAATCCAGTATTTTCAGCTACAAAAATTAGGACGAGAATTAGAAACTTCACTTCATTTTCTAGCTACGTTATTGCAAGGCGGTGGATATAGACCAGAAACAGAACAACACGTTAATAATTTATTACAAACAGTAAAGGAACATTGTATAAGGGAGAAACAACAATGTGGGGTGTTTTTTAAATTATCTCTCTGAGTTATTAATTCACTCCTCTAGATGAAGGAGTGAATTGAAAGAATGCTTCTCCTCAGAATCTGAGGAATAATGTATGTTATAGGTTGTTCTAGGCATCGAATTCGATGCTTAGCATCTCTGGGCAATTAAAACCTCCCCTCGTATGTTCAAACTAAACCCCAGGGATTGGGCTGTCAAAATCCTGAATCTGATCAGGATTTGAAAAAACCTGAATCAAAATCCAGCCTGAAACTCCGGAGTTGTGCTTCAAAATTTACTGTTAAATTAATTTTTAAGCCGATAATTTGCAACGGTTGGCTTCTGAACTTGAACTAGATGATCCTAAATTAGTCACAATTGAGGCAATAAACTGGTCACGCTCTCAAGTTATCTCACATCAACGTCAATATTCCTTATTTGAACAACAATGCAAACAATTTATGAATTTTAAAGAAATTCAACCAGAAAATAATTTTAAAAATCAAAATTTACAACAACCTTCAATAAAGAAAATCAAAGAAAATAAACAAAAAATAATTGAAGAATTGGGTGAATATAATAATCAACAATCAAATTTAGTGCAAAAAATAAATATTGAAAATGGTGATTGCCAGAGTTCTAAAGTTCCTCCTAGCATTGGACCACCTCTATGCAGTCAGCTAGTGCGTGAGGGGCAAACTGTCGTTCTTAAGGTGATTTTGTTTTGAAAAAATTTTGAGGGTGTTAATCTGTTTCTGAACCTTATCCTTAAAGCCATAAGTCAGATCTCTCTATAAGAGCACTGAGTAGGTAACAGAGTATTTTAAATTTGGTCAGCTACTAGATTGATAGAGCTGATAAGTGATATTACCTATTTGAGATACGCTCACTATAAGACTTTATCTTATATTTATTAATTTTACAGACTCGCATACGAGGTACTCCTTTCCCAAGCGTTCACTGGTTCTATAATGACAGCCCTATAGACTTTGAAAGATCAGATATTGGATTGAGTCGTCATCAAGATGGTCAATGCATACTAACCATTCCTTGGTTTTGAAAATTTTTTTTCGTATTAAAAATCCAAATTAAGCGTATTAACTGAACATGCGGGTCAATACAGCATTAAAGCTGAGAATATAGCGGGTAGAGCAACATCTACAGCTACTTTGAACGTTCTGCTCGGGATAGGTAGCCCAGCTGCACCTTCTGGTCAATTCCAATTTCCTTCTTCAATGAAACATCAAAATAAACAACAACAAGGTCCCGTCTACGCATTGATTAAATCAGAAGGTTCTGAATCGAGAAGGGCAAGTGATGGAGATATTATAGACCCTGGTGAGTAAAATGACAAGCTTTCTCCTTTATTCCAGAATTCTGCCTTTTAATCGTAATAATTTTAAGGCTATTCCAGCCTCGCAAATCCACCAGAATGCTTCCGCCCCTTTCCTTCAGAGGTGACCATTAATGAGGGAGAGAAAGCTGAAGTTGATTGCATGATATTGGGCAATCCACGGCCAAAAGTTCAATGGTTTTTTAATGGACGGCAAATTAAATCTAATGCAGAATTTGTCGAGCTTTTAAATGTTGGAGATACCTACTCAATTCGTTTTAATTACGCTCGTTTGGAATGTGCCGGTTGGTATCGTCTTGTTGCAGAAAATATTCGTGGTCGTTGTGAATCATTAACTCTTATCCATGTTCGCCCAAAATCATTAATTCCAAAGCCTATTGGAAGTAATAATCAAAGGGCTAGACGTTCAATTGGTGGTGTTCAAGGATTATTACAGTGGCAGAAGCAAAGGCAACAATTGGTGATTAATCACTCAATTATGTAGTGAGCTCCTAACACCCCTTTATATTTAAGCTTGAACAACACCAAGCTAGAGCTTTAAGTACCCCTCCACGTCGTGATTTTGAAGCTAAAAGACACTCAACCTCTTCAGCTCATGCAGAAATTATGGGGATTATGTCAACTTCGGATTATGAACCTGATAGAAGGCAATCAGGATTGGAAGTAGTTTATCGGCAAAATTTATAACACAGTATTTCTAAAAATCCATAGATATTCGTCAACGGATTTACTGGCAATGAAGCAACAGAAATTCATAGTTATACAGATATTAACAGACCTCCTTCTAGTGATCAAGAACGGACACTTATTCTCTCCCCAAGAATTATTCAGGAAAATAATTTTGATGTGTCCCCTCCTCATTTTACTAAAACATTAGTTTCTGCAATTGGAAATGAAGGACAAAATGTAAAATTTGAAGCAGTCGTCATTGGTTCTTAATTTTTTAAATTAACGCCAAATTTATGCGCGCCGAAAATGCCGCACAAAAGGAAAAGCGGATGTTAGTTTTTCCTCTATAGTCTATTACCATTTCGGCGCACGAAAATTTGGCGCAAAAATTTTTTATGTATCAAAAATAATTATGATATGATAACAAAGATAATTTTTTATCTCAAGGTGATCCTTTGCCTCGAGTTGTGTGGTCTAAGGATGGGAATATATTAAAGTCGAATGAACGTATTTCTATTTGGAATGATAATTATGGCAAAACAATACTTAATATAAATAATATTTGTATTAATGATGCTGGCAAATATTGCTGTACAGCAGAAAATAAAGCAGGAAAGGCTTGCACTTCTGCTCAACTTGTACTTTCTGGTACGTTTAATAAAGCATCAAATCTGAAAATTTTCAATAATACTCAGCCAAAATGATTGCTCCTGATTTTGTTGAACGCCTTGTTAGCCAAGATGTAGAAATCGGCTCTTCACTACTTTGGACGGTTAGAACTATCGGAGATCCTGAACCTTTAGTTAAATGGTTTAGAGATGGAATTCCGATTTCTACAGAGTTTGGAATTAAAAATGGTCTTCAAACAACTAAAGTAATCTTAATTTTAAAGGAATTTAGTCAAAGAAAATAAATTTGTAGGACGCCCCATTTATCTATTCCCTCAGAATTGAATCCCTAAATGTTGGACATGCAGGACAATTTACCTGTTTGCTAGAGAATATTGCCGGGGAAGCTAGGAGCACTGCCGATTTGGTTGTTAGACCTAAAGGTGCACCTCCAGGGAAGGTAAAAATTGAAGAAAGAAATTTTTTGAAATTTTTAACTTAAAGTATGTTCACGTAACCAAAGTGACACAGGAAAGGCAAGAAAATGGGGTAGCCAAAAATGAAGTAGTTATTTTAGAAAACAACGAAAATAATCATTTTTAGTTTAATAATTTTTGCAAAATTTTTTTTTTATTTTAAAATAAAAACAAAACAAAAACTATAAAATAAACAAAAATATTTTTTGAAAATTTAATAAAATAGGCATTATTTGAAGGCTCATCCAAAACAGATTTTAACAGTTTTTGAGGTTCCCATTGCTCACATTCTGTCCATTTTGTGTCTAATTGTGAATTAGTGTTGCCGAACCAATCGAGGAGCATTTGAAGAAGTGCGCTTTAATTTTATAAGTAGGTCCGAATATAATAAAATATTAAGTAAGTCTCTTAATCAAAATCAGGGATAAATTTCCTTAAGGAGCAGGTTAGAGAGCACAGAGTAAGTTACACTTCTCATGCTAAAACGTTTCAATTTTAGGTTATGTCAGATGAGTTTATTCGAGTAGTGAATGCTTTTACCATAAATTAGGGGAGCTTAACATTCTAGAAAATGACAAATCTTCTAGATATTTTAGATAAATTTAAAATCTTACGCCGATATTTTTGCATTGAATCTAACAAAAAATGGAATTGTTCTCCGATGGCAGAGTTTGGCAATAGCTTTAAGATGGCAATCAGCATAGCTATTCATTGCCCTTATTTAAGAGAATATTTCTTTAATAAATCTCTTTATCCAACCTACACAATCGTTGGAATCCATCATTTTCCTCATTTTTATCAATTTCGGATGGGTCATATCCATTATATAAAAATTGTCGTTGACTAATAGTCTCGTAAACATCACTTTCCATTAAAGACCAATGAAGCTTCAAAATTAATTTTAGAGAGAATTTAAAGGTTGATTTGAAACTTGACAACTCTTTCCAATACGTGGTCCATTCCTTACAAGGCAGGGTAGAACAAAATTTTGAAATTCTTTGTCTATTCGAAAACTTTGACAAATTGCCTTGAAATGAATTATTAAGATTAAAATTGTCAACAAGATCGAGAACAATAATTACACGGAAATATTTTATTTCTAATTATATTATTTTTTAACGATAATTAAAATTAGTACATTCATTGCTTGTTGCCCATCTGCAATAATTTGTCGAGCTATGGAATGCTGGCATTTACGAATACACGAAAGAAAACTATTGTGTTTACTAAAAATTTGCGAAGTTTAAAATATTTTAGATATTTTTTGAATAGTTTACTCGCAAGCAGCGGCAATTCTATCCAACGGAGATTTGTTCTCTTCTGTAGAGATAATTATATTTATCTGTTGATATTGAATAAATAAAAGTATATTTTTAATGAACTTATGCTTTCTGATATCCAACTGATCCTAACTAATTTATCTGATGCCCTCATCCCCGAATCCAGCTCCCTCGTTCTTCAATAATTATAAATGATTTTTAAAGACAAACTAGAGCATTTAGAGGAGAACCAACTGCAAACGTATCCCTTCTAACAGCTTTAGTATTCGTTGTTGTGTAGAACATCTTTTAAATTTTATATAAACTAAATCCCTAATATTAATTTACATATTCATCCTTGCAACGCAACAAACATGGATCTGCATGGGATTTTTCTAAAGGCTTGATAGGTGAGATAATTGGAGATTGTTCAATTTCTGGGGAATCTCTGATACTTTTTCGGGATGTTTTATTCTAAAATTTTGATTTTAAATATAATTACTTAATTACAGTCGGACTGAAATTTTAGATATAACTAGGGACTGTCAAAAATTTTAAATAAAGATTGAGAGTATCACTTATTGACATTAACGCTTAAGCAGATCCTCTACCCAGTGGCCACCCAAATTTTAAAAATGTACCTTAAATCGAATTGTCTATAAATAGAGATCCGACTGTATTTAAAAAGACTTGCCACTTTATAAAATCCAGGGTTACTTTCTAAATTATTTGCTTCAATATACTTTAATATTAACAGTAATAATAAGAAATTAAAATTCATTTAAATAAAATTGGGATTATTAAAAATATATCTGGCCTCCAAAAAATATTTTTATAAATTTTGGAGGTCTACAAGAATTGTGTTAAAATTAAAATAAATTTATTTGTATATTTTTGTTTTCTCATGGGAATTATCGCGGCTTAACACAAACCTTGTTTTCACTTTAAAAATTGGGTAAAGTGCCAGCGGGTAAAGAAGGATTGTGGCAAAAAAGGCAAAAAAAGGATGAGCATTTTAATAAATTTATTTTTACATAAATTATTAATATTTTAAAAATTGTGGAATAAAAAATTTTGAAAAATAAAATAAATATTATTTTAAGGTAAAAATTAATTATTAGTGATCAATTTTATAAATATCAATTTTATGAATGTATTAGTAGAAAAAATTCATTAGTCATTTAAACAGTCAAAATTTAACCATTCCTTTTAATTTTATTAAATTTTTCATTAATATTTGTGTGTAGTTGAAATTTGTGTGTATTTTTGTGAAAATTATTGAATTTTTAAAATTATTTTGGGAATATATAGAATGAATTTAGCTAAGTTTACCCATCGGGCAAACTTTTGCTACCTCGTTGCAGTTATTGCTAGGTGCTTTCGCTCACGCATTAGGAGCTCCACCATTGAGCTACCGGAGCGACGAGTAATGCCTTCTCCCTTTTAGATCGTTTAATCTCTGCCTAAACGTTTTAAATACTGTTAGGTGAATATTCCTTACAATATAAACCCCAATGTCAATGCTAAAACCATCTTCAAGACTGGCAATTTTCCATTAATGAAAACCCGATACCCAATAGTTCTAAACTCTCCTGTTTTTCTATAAATTTCTTTCAACCCTTAAAATAATAAAATAATAATTCTCAAAAATTAAATTTTTTGTTCAAATAAAAATTTTTAAACTACAAGTTTATCAATAGGAACAAAAAGAGAAACAAACAAAACTAGATTTTTTAAATAAAATTTTTTGAAATAGATCCTTCAACGTAATAATTTTTTATTTTTGTTTTGTTTGACGAATTAAATTGAAAAATAAAAAATAAATTTTAGTAAATTTAAATTCAAAAAAGAGAGAAAATTAGTCAAAAATTATTATTTTACAGAAAGGAAGAAATAATTAATAAATATTAATTAATCTTTAACTAATTAATTAATTTAATAATGCTTTATTATTCAACAACTATAACTATAATATTAATTTTATTATTGTTGAGAGAGGAAGAAATGCTTAGAGCTAACGAAGTTTGTTTATAACAAACTTTTTTTTGTATATTGACTTGTTTATTGTATATTGACTTTGGCATTTCAAAGGACCGGACTTGAACTACACCAAAATATATATATTAGACACCAAAATATATATATTAGTGCGTCAAAATATCTTGATCTCGTTAACAAGGATATGGGAACGAGATATTGTCTTGATGCTTTATAAACGAACATTCTTGGCAATTGGGACCTATGCAAGACCTATAAGGTCCGTGAAGTATCTCATAGGTTCTGCATGCTACTATTGGGTCCACTATCTCGTACAATATTATCCGTTCTATTTTTGGATAGATTAGAGAAATATTTTTCAAATAAAATTTTTTATTTTCTAGTTGAAACAAAATATTCGAGTGAAAAGAGCTGATTGTTACAAATACAAAATTGAGACAGAACGTTGTAAACATCCAAGTTGCGCAGACTGTCCATTAACCTCCGCAACTATATACCCTCCGGGGTGGGCTGAATGTTGTTATTATGATGGATGATAGTGAATTTATTGAAATTAATAAAATAAAAAAATAAAAACTAAACTTGTAAATTGTTTTTATTATTTTTTTCTAATTAAATGTATGTCTAAATCTAAAAATCTAAAAATTTCTAAAAATTTTCAGTTTGTTAATTAATTAATATCTAGAATTTTTTATACCTTATACCCGAAGATTTACTAGGAACCCCTAACCTTAGTCCAACGGTGCATTTTATATTGAGATCCATTTATAATTGTATAGTTAATGTGATGCAAAATATAAATACTGATTAAAAAAAAGAGCATTTTTAACAAACTATGGTACTTATCCCTTATACCACACCCCCTCAAAGTAGTGTCCAAAATGTCATATATGGGGTAATAAAGGGTGCTGATCACGATTATGGTGTTTATTTCTCAATATAAGAACCCCCTCACCCATAAATTGTCATGGTTCATAATGGTCAAACTTCAAGTTTGGACGCATTTGACTACCACAATGGCAGAAACGTTCAGTATGAAGCAAACCGCAATTTTGAAAAAATTTTGCAGCGTTTGATTCATCAGGACATCCCCCCATTAGTGTGTCGTAATTATAGAGCATTTTTTATATATTTTTTATTATTATGGGTTCAAATGAATGAAATCGTTTATACAGGGTGCACCATAAGTAATTGGACACATGTTTTCTCTCATAACTTTATTAAAACACAATCAAATAAAATCGAAATACAATCAAATGATAGAGAATTAAATATGGAACAATAATAATCAAGAAGTTTCGAAATGCCCACCCTTGGCTTTGATACAGAGGCGAAGGCGCGAAGAAAAATTTTCGCAAATAGCACGCACCTCTTTAAGTGTAATTAAGTCCCACTCTCGGGTGAGAGAGTGTCGCCGAGACTCCAAACTTTTTTGAGGCTTAGCACAGACCCTGGACTCCAAAATAGACCAAAAAGAATAACCATCGGATTCAAATCCGGGGAGTATGGCGGCTATTCCTGAGCGCTAATGAACCCAGGAAAATTGGCCTTGCAACAGTCTTGAACTTCTTTCGCCTTGTGTGCCGGAGCAGAGTCCTGTTGGAAAATCCGGACCATGCGACCAAAATGGCTCTTAAACCGAGGCTTCAGAACACGCTGAAAAATTTCTCGCAAGTAATAGTCTTTGTTGACTTTTACCCCAGGATCCACGAAAATAAGGGGTTTTTTGCCTGACGTGCTAATACGGGCCCAAACCATGACAGATTGGGGATGTTGGGAATGAGTGATAAGCTCATCGGAAAGAGGAGATTCTGTAGTCCAGATTCTATAATTTTGATGGTTGTGAACGGCTTTTATTGTAAAAATTTTTTCGTCTGTGAAGAGAATGTCCGGACATGCGTGCCAATGGGGGAGCAGTTTGCATCCTTCAAGCCTAACTTTTTTGGTTTTTTCTGTTAAGAGTTGTGCTTTTTGGATTTTGTAGGGTATTAACCCTAGTTTATTTTTAGCTATTCGTCTGACGGTCATCTCACTTATTCCGGTTTCACGAGCCAATTTTCTCATGGAGGGTCGAGAATTGCGATGCACCTAGTTTTTGATCATTTTAATATTCTTGGAAGTGCTGACGGTACTCGGTCTTCCACTTTTTTGTAAGTTCTTAGTTGTGTCATCATTACTAAATTAATTTCAAAAAAAATTTCTCCCAAAAAATTTTCAACAGAATTTTTTGAAAGTGTATTGCACAGTGCTCTTTGGGACATTCAAAAGAGGTGAAATTTTGCGGACTGAATTTTTTTTCAAAAAAAGTGAAATTATAGAATCACGTTGATTAGCCATAATAGAGAATTGAATGAGCTAAAAAATAAGCATAAAATCGATTAAAAATATTGACAACAAAAAAAGTTATAAGGAATTTAAAAGTGTCCAATTACTTATGGTGCACCCTGTATACTCATTAAACGACCAATAATCACACAGAAAATAAATATTAAATATTAGTGTATTAATAAATATAAGTGCAAAATAAATATTAGTGCATTAATATTGCTCATACATACCTATATATTTATTTAAATAAAAACTTGAAGTTTGACCATTATGAACCATGACAATTTATGGGTGAGGGGGTTCTTATATTGAGAAATAAACACCATAATCGTGATCAGCACCCTTTATTACCCCATATATGACATTTTGGACACTACTTTGAGGGGGTGTGGTATAAGGGATAAGTACCCAAACTATTATTTTATTTTAATAAAAATTCCAGTCAAATCAAATAAGAGTCAAAAGCAGCATTTTTTGAAATTTTTATTTAAAATTTTATTTAAATTTTTATTACTAAGAAGGGAAATTGCTTCTTTTAATTTTGATTAATTACTATATTTATTTAATTATTATTTCGCGAATAAAAATTTATTCTGAAGGGGCTCCGCAACAATTATTCAAAAATTAAAACAACAAGGTAATAAATTATACTTAAAGTGAGCGCCAAAAAAGTTTTCTGACAGCCTAGAAACGCCAAAAGCAAGCTTTGTTTGCAAACAAGAATATTACTAATAAATTAACGCAACTTAATAAATTGAGCAATTTTTAAATAATAAAGAGAGCAAAAATTAATGGAGCAATTCATCGAGAAAAATACTTAATTTCTTAGTTTGTACCAAAGCATAATTTTTAAAAAATGCAAAAATAACCCCATATTTAATTAATTATCTAAAATTTTTATAAAAAGTTAAAAAGGAATGTCTTACTAAACTCTCAAAAAAATTTTAAATTTTGATTGAAAAAATAGCTGCTTGAAAGGCCTATAAATAAGGGTTAGCCGACATTTGCGGACCCGCACTTGCGGACCGACATTTGCGGATTCGCACTTGCGGACCGACACTTGCGGACCCGCACTTGCGGACCGACACTTACGGACCGACTTTTGCGGACCGACACTTGCGGACCGACATTTGCGGACCCGAAATGAATTTTTAAAAAAGATGATAAAAGACCGGTTTTAGTTATAAATCCGGAGCCAATCTTAGCAATTTTTTTTCTTTTGAACCTATCCATTCTCTTGTGCTTTTTTTAAAGAGAAAATTTTTTGAATTCTGGGGCGATATTCTAAAATTGAGGTAAGGGTAACCAACCCTCAGTTGCGGGTAAAGTGACACACAATCAGAACTCTTATCCAAAATGCGGGTAACTCTACAAAAGAGTTCTGGTTTGTTATGCAGGGAATAGAATTGTACCCTCATCTGACGTGGGTTAAAATCCTACCCGAAGCTCTTTAAAAATTAAAAAAAATATTTTTGGATATAATTTTTAAAAATTCTCGTTCATTAGTAAATTTACTGTAAGCTCTCCACATTTTTGAGATTCTGATTTTCATTTTCAAATAAATTTCTTTTAAATTTTTTAAAGTTTTATTTCTTTAATTTCTTTTTATTTTTTATTTCATTTCGGGTCCGCAAATGTCGGGTCCGCAAGTGTCGGTCCGCATATGTCGGTCCGCAAGAGTCGGTCCGCAAAAGTCGGTCCGCAAAAGTCGGTCCGCAAGTGCGAATCCGCAAAAGTCGGTCCGCATGTGTCGGTCCGCAAGTGCGGGTCCGCAAATGTCGTTTAGCCATAAATAAGTGGAGAGGTTACGCCTAATAAACATTAAAATTAATTTTAATTTATAAACTTTCCCTCTAAAATAAAAATGTCTACTTCAACTTTTTGCTTTTTACTTGTAGCAGCTTTAATTGCACAAATTGTGGTTTCTGCACCTCCACTACGCGCTGACCAGTGAATCTTTATGTGGAAGAATAATAATAATTTAATTTTAAGTATGCGAGTAAAGAGAGGCGATGCAGTGCCGGTGGTTGCTGCCGCTCCTGTTGTAGCTGCTCCAGCCTATTATTATCCTTATTATGCTCCGGTATATATTATTGATAAACTTAGAATTGGAAATTAATTCTATGGGGCTTGCAATTAAGGCTAATTCAAATCTCGATATAAGGAACAGAAAGGAACGTTTATCAAATTCATTATCTCAAGCAATCCTTAAATCAAGAGCCATCTTAGGGAGAATCTTAGCCAGTAATTTAATTAAGATTCATATAAACCCTTTCTAAAAAAGGTTGCACCAGCAGCTTCTAGCTTTGTTTCTGGCGGAGGCGGTGCTGGAGGCGGTGGAATTCAAAGCGTAATTGGTGGAGGCTATGGACATTCTGGATCTTCGTTTGTATCAGGAGGTGGGGGTTTATATGGAGGTGGGGGAATACAAAGTGTTATAGGAGGACGTTGAAAACTGAAAGAGGACTGAAAAATTTGATTAATGCTATCAACTACCATTTACTTTTAATTAGCCTAGAAAGAAAAATTGATAAAAATGATGATTAAATTAATTTTTAAAGTCAATTCATAAATAATTTTATTTAGATTTGAATTTTAATAAATATTCATATAAATTTTATTTTGTTATTTGTTAGGGTCAGTTAATTTTTAGAAACTTAAAGAAATTTAGAATTGTTCCTATAGATTCTTCCAGGGCTGGCAATCCTTATACAATATAAACTTATTTTCCATTATTTAATGTTTTTAAAATACAATTAAATATTTAAATGTGGAAGTTATAAAGTGAAATAAATAATTTGAATATTCCATTGTAAATAAATTAAAGATTATAGCCAATCTTCTATTCAAAGTTTCAATTTTAAAAAATATTAAAAAATTATATATTGTATTATATCTTATGGTATATTGATTGGGACAACATCAGGTTATCTTGGGATTTTTCATGATTCGCCAGCCCTATTTACAGTCAATGAGGGTAGAAGTCTAGCGATCTAAAAATATAAGATCAAAGTCAACTCCATTCAAATCCCAGATATATCCATATCTTTTAATACCTTAATTCTACAAATTCCCTAGAATCCTCAATTTGGTTGCTAAATGCCCTTGCTAAAATGCCCTTATCAATTTTGGTACCAATCTCTTTAGCTCGAAGAGAGGAATCGTTTAATACCAAATTTGGAAAGCTAAGGAAAACTTAAAGCAAGTTATGGCTTGGCGACCTTAAGGCCGCGCGACTATTCGGGCGTGTCCCATTTTCGGAACGTCCCACATCAGTCCCTGGCCGTTTCAGTCCCGAGCGTGTAACTCGGGAACTTATAAATAATTTATTGAACTTTTAGTACCATTAGATAGAGGATTAAATTCTCTACAAAATGATACCAAAGATAAAATAATCTTATCAACTGATAATGAAGTTATTATCAAAAAACCGCGATTTTTAAAAAAAAGTCATTTTTTGCAAGTTTTTAAATCATAACTTTGGTACCTGTTGATAAAATTTTTCGATCAATAGCTTATTTTGTAGTTTAATTAATCCTCTATCCAACGATACCAAGAGTTCAAAACAACTCGAATCTTCTCGAGTTATAGAGCTCGGGACTGGAACGTCCCGTACTGAAGTGTCCCCTACCGGTAATTTTGGAGCGCAACTGTCCTCTATCGAAAAATGACATTAGATCCCATATTTTTCTTAACTGTATTTCTTTTTCCCTATTATCTCTCGCTATGACTAGTAAAATCTTTTGTTTTTTTGTAAAAATTTGCAAAATTGTTTACCTAAATTATAGTTTTTTTAACTGTTTAGAATAATTGATTTTAAAAAATATGATCACTCGAAGCAAAGCCAAACAACAAAATATTCAAGATCAACAAAATTTGACTAAAGAAAATAATCAAAAGGTTTTTAATTTCTTTAGCTTGATAAATGTAGAATTTTAAAATTTAGACGAATCAACATTCACAAAGTCAGAATAATCAAGGCAAACAAAACGACCAACAATCAGGACAAACTTCTCGTGGAAACAACCAACAAAAACCTGCTGTAAATCCAGATGGGAAAATCAGCGATTGTTTAATTTGTTGTCAACGTTCTGATCTTTTTGGACTTGGGGAGTGCATGCATCCGGTTTCTTTTTTGTTTAATTGGAAATGTTTCTAATTTATTTTATAGATTTGTATGAAATGCTCACTGCGTATCCGGGTGTTTGGAGAAAAAAAACAATGCCCACAATGTCGGACTGCCATCCCAATTGTATTTTTTATTATTTTGTGGTGTTATTTTTATTGTTAGATAGTGTGTTTTAGAGATCGATCTCGGCTAGGGTATTGCTTATCAACCGCTCAAAAAACATTTGTCATTTCTAAAATGATACGGCGTTACCTAATGTCAAAAAAAGCCAATCGAGACCAGTCGAGATTGGGATTTTTTGAAAAAAACCAGCCGATTTTTGGGGTCAAAAATTTGAATTTGGAAGTAGCAGCTCATTTGAAAGAGCTCATCTGATATCTCTCTCATAATCAGAGCATTTTATTGCATTTGATAAACATGTTTTTTTCATGGGGTAATGAGCGATACCTTTACCCTGATCTGGATTTTTCATTTTTTCTATCTGCATCTTTATTTTCCGAATCCATAGACCGGCTTATTTTTCGTATTTATTGATCGTAGTTGATTTACCCAATTGCTTTTTGCTTCTATAATTTTCCTTTCAATTTTACAGCTTTACTATGTATCTGCTCCTCCAGGTCAAAAACTTTTAAAGCTTCCAACTAATTGTATTGACCATGTCGAATATGAAGCTAAATTTTCTGTCCGTTTTGATTCAAAATATGCCTTGGAATGCTTTGATTCTTTTTTGGTTGAACGTCGCAAGGAATGTGTTGAGAGGTTTTTTTGGCTTTCGGTTGTCGAGCTTATTTTTTCTATTTTAGACTAAATGAATTGGTTTTCTTTGCCCCAACTACGAAAAGCAATAGGAGTATCATACACGGCCAATTCAAATATAATTTAAAAAAAAAAGAAGTATGGCGCTGCTCCAAGAACCCAATTAAGATGTATAAATGCAATGCTTATTTAAGAGAATTTCAAAAAAATTACATTTTGTGTGCTGATCACACGTGCGATTTGGTAAGATTTCTGTGGTATAAGTCGTATTCACACATTAAAAATATCTGCAAAAAATTTTTATTTTTTCGAGAAATTTTTTGTTCAACTTTTCGAATCCAAAATTTACAAATTTCGAGTTTGTCTCCCCCTCCCTCAGGGATCCAACCTCCTGCTACTAATGTTATATAAATTAAGCTTTGTTGAAGTACCGGGGACCTTTGAATTATTTTCTTTTTAGCTTTTTTAATAATAATTTTAACATTTTAAAGATACAACGATTGGAACATGTTGATCAGGATCCTCCACCAAATCTTGCAATGAAAAATTGTATGATTTTTTTTAATTTTTGAAAAAAAGTTTTTGCGGCACTTATGCCTCTCCCCTCGGTCCATTTTGTGTTAAAGTTGAAAGGTTTAAAAAGCAGAAAAATGGAGGTTTATTCTACTAGTTCAAAACTTGAAACTCGTTAACTTCCACGAGACACGTGCCGCAAATTAATCAACTAGATGTTAAATGATTCATCATTTTTAAAAAGTGTTTGGTGATACCGCGTTTTGTCCGACCGCATTTTTTCTGTCCGTGTCTTGTCCTTTCCACGTTTTGGCCTGTCACTTGTACATATAATTGAGTTTTTTAACCCAACATTCTGACAATTTTTTACCTCTGTAACCTAGTGTTTTCCTAAATTTTTAGCTGGTAAACGTGTTTTTATGGCTTGGGCTGATGGACCTGGATTAACTGACGGAGTGCTTGGCCGCCCAAATAAATTTACTGTTAGCTATACAAAAAATTTGGGAGGTGGAAAATTAACCGTATTAATTGATGGACCCAAAAAGGCTGAAGTTGGAACAGTACAACATCTAAACGAAAACAATTATCAAGTCGAGTTCGTTCTTTTTTCGCTTATACTAATAATTAGAACAATTTCTAAAACTTTTCAATTCAGATACACAGTCCAGTCACCAGGTCTTTACACGATTAATGTTTGTTTTATTGATACTCCGATCCTCGGATCACCTTTTAAAGTATATAATATTTATAGATTTATTTAAATTTAATTTTTTAGTTGTTTGTGAAAGCTCCTCAAATTAATCAAACAATTTCTTGCATTCCTTCCACCTCTACAGATGAACAACAACATTATGATTATTTGCCAGTGAGTAGTAGTAAAATTGTTTTTATTTTTAATACTTAATTTCGTGGCGCGAACTTTGCGGAACAAAAGCTGCATGAGCTTGGTCCCCTTAAGGGTTTTATATTTTCATGAATATGGGTCTCGACATAATGTTGTTTCTCTGGAAAAATTTTGTGTTAGTCGACTCAGGCCGCTTTGCTATTTCGATTGACATATAGATTGCCCAACTCTAAAAATCCCCCGAGGGTATAGTTTATCCAAACTTTGGAAAAATTGTGTTTGGGGCCCAGACTCCGATCCGTTTTATATATGTCATTCGAATAGAATTCGACAAGCTGAGTCGAATGATGCACACGAATCAGCGGCGGCTGTTTTTCAGCGGGGTATTTGAAGGTTAAAGACAAATGGTCATAAAATGTTCAATCATGTAGATTTTGTTTGATGTATTTCGGCTTTTCGAATCCAGCTCCAAAAATCAGCTTGCTCTCCCCGAAGTTTTTTCGACCAAACAGTTTTACCTAATCTTCCAATTTTTCCACTTTTAAAAATAAATTTTAGAAGATTTTAATTTTTTATTTACTCTTTTTTAGATAAAGGATCCAATGTTTTTCTTCCAACTGATGTTCGACTTGATATATTAAAATGCCTTAATTTCGACCAATTATTTTCTCTAAGACAAACCAATTCTTACTTTTACAATTTAATCAATAAACATGAAGAATAATTGGCAAAGACGAAATTCAATCAGACTTAATATGTACAGATCGGAAAATGTAACCAAAAAATGTAACCATATAAGTTACATTTTGTGAATAGTTTCTCATTGACTTTCGATTAAATTATTTTTGTTTTATGCATGGCTCTTATTTGAATTATTTTGGAATTAACCTACCTTTGTGTTTACAAAATTAAAAATTTTTTGGCTAAAAAAATTAAATTTTCCTTAAAATTTCGAAAATTTTTGCCTGCGGGGCTAAAAATTGAAAAAAAATCTTTTTTGTTTTCTCTCTCACACATGCTGAAAAAGACACGTGTGAGAAAAATATTTGAGATTTGAGCATGCATAAAATTTCTTTTCTTCGATGAGAGCCCTTGTTTTATGTGCATTTGTTTACCTAATTTATTTGTTTTTTATTTTTTCAAAATATTTTGGTAATAGTTTGGAATTCGCCCTCTTTTTTTCACAGTTTCCCTGACCATTTTGAGCTTCTTTGTTTGATACATAATTTATCATTCGAAAGAGCTTTTCGAGCTTGGTCCAACTATTATTATCAATGTTTTCTTTTAGACATTCTATTCACATACTTTTATCTTATAAAATTTATTCGCATTTTATTTTCGTATGTGCCATTTAATAGTTATTTTTTTTAATACTTTTAAGTTTTTCCCGCCTTTTTCGAAGTCAAGTATGGACACCTGACACACAGTCAAAGTTGTTTTTAAGCAAAAAAGTTTCTGAAAATCGAAAAAATTCAAATGTTTCAAATAGAAAATATTTTTTATAGTCTTCGAATCTTGGGAAAAATAACCTGAAAATCGATGTCGAATTGGTAGAAAGTTAAAAAATTGGAAAATAATTAAAAATTGGAGAAATTGAAAATTTGTAGAAAAGTCTGTTGGCGTTATTGTAGATGCTCAAAGTTAGGATTCGTGTTGGCTGTCCCTGACAAATCTACGAATATCCCAAACTTTTTTATTCAATTCTTCTCCCTTTGCTTATTTGTCCAACTGTTACTGGTAGGATTAAGATTTCTTTATCAAATTCTTCTGAATCGGATCAGATAATCTGGATTGCTGGTAAGGAATAGGATCGAGTACTCACTTAGACCACCAGGCCATAGGTGTCGAACCCAGAACTCGAATTTGTTCTTTAGGCAGAATTCCTTACGTAGTCCTTACAAAACATGAGTACGTTGTGATAAATGTCATACATATTTTACAGATTTTTAAAAATACAATTAAATATTTAAATGTGAATTTTAGAAAATTTTTGTTTTCTATATCATTTTAAATAAATATTTTGATTATTTCATTCTAAATAATTTAACGTCGACCATATCCATATCCGCCATAACCGTATCCTCCATGTCCATATCCGTAGCCACCTCCTCCAGCTACAAATGAAGATCCACCTCCAATAACGCTTTGAATACCTCCCCCACTACCGCCTCCTCCAGCAACAAAGGAAGATCCAGAAAGGCCATATCCACCACCTATTACGCTTTGGATTCCTCCTCCTCCACTTGCTCCGCCTCCAGAAACGAAGCTGGAACTTGCTGGGGCAGCCTTTTTTGGAAAAAATTTTTTTTAATGAACTGAGATAGTTTCTTAAAGTCCCTCTAAATTAATCAGAGACAGGATAACTACATATTATTAAATTTTTAATAGATTACAGGAGCATAATAAGCAGGGGCATAAGCTGGTGCCGCATAAACAGGTGCTGCATAAACAGGAGCACAGCATGTGGCATGTCTCTTCCCGCTAAAGAAAATATTTTTAGAATTAAAAGTGAAATAATTTTGTGTAAAATAATACTGAAATCTAAAGGATAGTTAGTAAATACACGTTCAGAATCTCGAGTATCAAGAATCGCAATTCTTTGGGGGTATCGATTTCGGATCCCGATCGATCCTTAGATTCGTCCTTTCATTATCTAATTAAAATTAGTATACTCATTCAGGTGCCTATTTCAATTATGCGCAGATTCTGCGAATACTAGAAGATCCTAGAAACCCTAGAAAATCCTAGAATCCTCTAAGATGTCTCAGAATGCCTTCCAAAATTCTCTAATAAAATTAAAAACTATACACTGTCTTATCAGCAGGAGGTGGAGGTGCAGAAACCACAATTTGTGCAATTAAAGCAGCTACAATTAAAAAGCAAAAAGTTGAAGAAGACATTTTTAATTTTGTTTGGATGAGGATTTTTGAAATTTAAAATTAAAATTTAAAATTAATTTTGTGCTTGTTAGGTGTGAACATTTCTCTTATTTATAGGTTCAATTTTCTCATCAAAATTAAATTAATTTTACTTGTTTACAAAAGCATTCCCTTTCCACGCGTGTTTATGACGTTAATCAACTAGGTAATTAACAAGGGGGTAACCTTGGATTAATTTTAGAAAATTAATCACCCTTTGATGAACAAAAGAAAATTTTTTATTAAATTGTACAGTAAAGTAGAACCATTTTAAGAAAGAAAATTAAATTTTATTTAAATTAAATAATTATTTTTAAATTTAAAAATTTGCTGAAAATTGCTTGTCATCAACAATTAAATTAGAGAGAATTTTTTCGCTATTTTTTAAATTTCCCAAATTCGAAAAAAAAATTTTTGAGCTTGATTTATTTTGATTAATTATTTTTTTGTTTATTTATTCGTTATTTCGCGAATAAAAGCTGACTAAAAATTTATTTTTGGGGTCCCCTAAAATTATTCAAAAATAAACAGCCTAAAAAGGAACTCTAATTTCTTTGAAATAATTCATGGGAAAAAAATTAATTGGGGAATTTAATGAAAAAACTTGCAAGAAATAATAATTTAAGTGTATTTTCTGTGGAACGGAGAGTTTATTTTAATTTAATTTATAAATGCTCGAATTTCCAATTAATTAAAGAAAAATTTGAATTAACGTCATTTAAAGCACCTATTCATTAGTAAACAAATAAAATTCTTTTAAATTTTGATAAGTGAACTGAAGCCTATAAATAAGAGGAGAGTTAACACTTAATAATCATAATTTATTTTTAAATTTCAAAAATCCTCGTCCTTCTAAAAATTAAAAATGTCTTCTTCAACTTTTTGCTTTTTAATTGTAGCTGCTTTAATTGCACAAATTGTGGTTTCTGCACCTGTTGGTGATAAGACAGTGTATGATTTTTAATTTGGAAATAGTAAAATGGAAGTATGCTGGGACCATTCTATAAATCAAACCTAGGCACATATACATTATATTCCCTAAGGATAGTTCTGGGTTGGCCAGACCCTAGCTTATATCTTCACTAAGCTACAGATTTGTGCTCCTCCTTCGAGGCATATGTCTTAAAGGACTAATTAACTGCGAACTGATTATTAGTGATTTATTGGTAAGACAACGGATATGTCTTACAAAATTAATTTAAAAATAAATAAGGGGCCTTTAAGTATCCATAGAATTTTGGATGTTTCTATTACTAAATTCTAATCTTGGAAAAAATTAATTTGGGAAAGCTTTAGTCTTAGAAAGCTTTAATTTTTGGTCCTATAATATTTTTAACTAATATTACTTCCATAACTAAAATAAATTTAATTTTTAGGCAAAAGAGACATGCTGTATATGCACCTGCTTATTATTATCCTTATTATTATGCTCCGGTAAATTTTATTGAAAATTAAATTTTTAATTTGAATAATAAGAGTTGGAGAATTAATTCTCTTATGAATTTTAAATTTAAGACGAAGACAATTTTATTAAAAATTAAATTTATTTAAAAATTATTTTATCAAAAAAGACTGCCCCAGCAAGCTCCAGCTTCGTTTCTGGAGGCGGTGGAAGTGGAGGAGGAATCCAAAGTGTAATAGGAGGAGGATATGGTCTTCCTGGATCTTCCTTTGTTGCTGGCGGAGGTGGATATGGAGGTGGTGGAATCCAAAGCGTTATTGGAGGACGTTAATAATCTAAGATAAATTACGCTATAAATACATTTTGTATGTACATCTTTATACATTAAATATATTTATACATTTATACAATTTCTGGATTAATAAATTAGTCTCATCAATTAAAATATTTGACTTAAAGTTTAAAAATTTTATTAAAAATAAATTTCTATATTTTATTAAATTAACAAAATTTACTTGTTAATTTTGATCTTTTTAAAAATAATTTTAGCCGTCGAGGCTTCGTCCCTGTTATAGTAGTTGATAAAAAAATGTTTAGGAGGGTAGAGCTTGAGGGGATAACAACCTCACTTCCAATAAATTTTAGATCATTCCTATCCCTATCCTATCTTTTCATATTAACCGAGGGAGATTTCGATTAAATAATTTTATTGATAATATCATTGATGAGACTTCCATTTATGTCAAAAAATAAATACATTGAAACGAGGTAAAGTTAAATAAAATGAGGAAAAATTTTTAATTTTTCTCGGTAGAGGAATTCAAAATATTGGAATCAGGGAAAGTAGAACACTAATAATTTGAGTTCCCCGGTCCCCTGAATTTCCTTGGATTCCAATGACTTCCCCTGAATTTGAAGTCCCCTGGAGGACCTTATGGATGAAATATTTTTTGTTAGATGAAGAGGACATTTATCGTGTATTTTGGGATTGTCTATGAATGCTAATCTAAAGCAACACTACGCGAGACTGATGCAATAAAAATTTTTGTAAAAAATATAAGGGAACTGATAAATTGTTCCATTAAATTTATGTTGATATTTTTTGTTTTTTTTTCGTTTTTTATTTTTTTTGTAATTTTTTTACTTTTGTAAATTTTTTTGTAGTTTTTGTGTTTTTTTATTCTTGGCCTCATCAAACATCTTCATCATCGGTATAATACTGAGGCACATGGTATTCGTAGTCTTCCACATCCTTGTCTACATAATCACCGGTAATATCAGCACTTTCATCATTCTTCGTAAAAATTATCCCTAGATAATACCCAATTGTATCAAATTTCTCGTAGGCCATATCAATTTTCCCTTCAGGAAATGTTTTTGTTAAGATTTGATTTACGAGTTGCAAGGCAATATCAAAAAAATAATCATGATAGTCTGTAGAAATATATTTATTATTTTTTATTCTTTTAAACCCCTTATTTATTTGATAACAAAATTTGGTAACAGTTTGGTTCAGATCACCCCCTCCCCCCATTTTTTTAAAAATGTTTCCTTGACCATTTTAAGTTCTTGATATATAATTTATTATACATCATTAGACCCAGCTCGAATGAAGCTGAATCCTTGATGAAAATTTGAATGCCGCTGCAAGGGATTAGAATAAAGGGTAATAACTTTATAAGTCAGATTTTGTTGATTTTGGTGAATTTGACTCTGAGAACAGATGCCGTAAAGTGAAACAAAAAAAAATGGGACGTCTGAAACAAACTCTATTGCCCAAAATTTTAATTTTTACTTACGCTTAATTAATAGGGAGAAAGTAGTACTCTTCCCTGGCTTTTTTAATTTATTTGTTGCTTGATCTATTTTATTTGCATAGTTATTATAAACTTGGAGATATTTTTCAACATCGAGTTGTTTTCTAAATAGAAATTTCAGAAAAAAATTATATTTTATATTAAAGTTTTCCTCCACTTATAGATACACCCTTGAGACGCAAAAAATCATACTAGTTATTTAAATCGAGTGTATCCATTATTGGGGATATTACCTCTACGTTATATTGTGTGAGGTCCGACAGTTAAAAATCAGAATATTTTTAACATCTGAATTTAAGATTTCTCATAATTTCTCTAACAGATTATCATATATGATAGACTCCTATGAGACATATGATAATTTCAAACTTTTTTAGAAATTTTCAAAAAAATCACAAAACCATATAAACTCTCATAAATATTACATTGACCTAAATACTAGCAATTTTCATAAAAAATACCTTATAAATCCAAGAAGATCGGAATACAAACTTATTAGACGACTATTATTCGAAAACAAAAACATTGATGTTAATGCCCTAGCTACTCCCAACAAATTATAAAAAATATATATATTCTTCTCAAGTTGGGTAGGTGCAAGTAATTCATTCAGAAGATTGCGCAAAATAAATGGATTCGTTTGATTCAAAAGTTCATTCAAATAATTTTTCCTTTAAAAATAATTTTATTAACTAGAGAAGGGGTAAAAGGTAAAGGGTGGTTCTGGAAGGGATTAAATCTCTTTATCATAAAAAACCTTTAATTTTGTTAAATCATTAAATCTCTCACTTAATTCTCTTATTATTATGTCCAAAATTTCTTATATTCTTTTTCAAAATTTGATTAGCTTTATTTAATTCATTTAAGTCATCTGTGAGCTCATAGTATCTAGAAATTATTTTTCCAATTTTATCTTCAACAATTTCCAAATTGCCGTTGAGAATGTCCATCGCGCCGTTCAGTTTGTCTTCATACACAACAATCAACTTAAAATCTTGTATTATTAAACTGATATTTAGGAAAGTGTCTTAGGAATAAGGACCTTTTCAATTTTGCTAGAAATTTTTCCAATGGTGTGAACAATCTGTCCTGAAGTTGTGGCATCCATAAGATAAGTCTGTTCTGAATTCATGAACCCTTGGTTTTCTTGTACAAGATGTTCATACAGTGCAGGACTCATCTTGTTTCGGTTTCCTTCTATTAATTGGGCAATCTGTGTTGGATTCAAGATGTGTTTTTCTCTTAATAAGCTAATCCCTTTAACAAACAGGATATCTTGAATCGAATAAACATTCTGTTCCAATTCATTCTCTTCAACCTCCTCCAAAATTCTAATCAGAAAGGACAGCTCGGTAAGAGAAAAGGCATTTGATTCATGTCTAAGAACTTGTTTTCCAGTTCTGATTTTTGCTATAATAGTTTTATATTTGGGGAATCTCTAAATATTTTGAAGCAAAAATAAATAATACCAGGATGAGATGGCCGAGAAGGCTCTGATTCGTCTTTCCGCTTTTTCATTGCTTAATAAAAAATTTCGTTAATAAAATTTCGTTAATAAAAAAATTTTCTGAATTTTTGTATTTGTCCTATATACAAAGCCCTTTGAATTTTTCAAAAAAAAAATCGAGAACCTCTATCACTTCCATTTTTCATGCCTTCGACTAATAAATCTCTTGACAACATGCCAACAAAAAACAACAAACGAAGGCTTATAATAAAAGAAGAAATAATCATTTTAGAAAATTTTTTTATTTTTTTTTGAAAATTAAAATCTTAGAATATCTTAACAATTACACAAATTAATAGACAATCTTTTAAGAGAAGAATCGGGGTATTCAAGAGAATAATCGGGGCAAGAGGGGTATATGTAGCTACTATGCAGGAGGCAGCAAGGTGTAAAGGATAACATATCAGAACGCAAACTGAAGATGCTGTGTTCGCTAAAGGGACGGGACGAGTTGAGAAAATGACGGATTCGGGTCGGATCGGGTTTCGGGTCAAATAGCCCAGATTCGCTTTACTATGTATATCTGAAAGTTTGTTAATACAAGGAATTGTGAATATTACAATTGAGAATAGACAATTGAGGATTAAATAAAAAATAAAAATAAGGATCTTGTCAAGCTGAGCGAGTAATGTTTGTCTTAAATATTTGGACAAACTTTGACAAATATAATTTAATATTAAATTGACTATGAAAGTTTAAATTTGACTTTATAATTGCCTTTAGAAACCCCTTGTAGCAATAAAAAATTTTAAAATTAAAAATAATGGCTATTAATTAAATAAACAATAAATAAATTTTCAGTCGATTTAAATGCCTCTCCCTATTTTTGAAAAATAAAAGTCTAATCGTTGAGCCCTTATTTTTATTTTTAAATTTTAAAGGGAGGAGGGATAGACATTTAAAATTTTCTATCGTCTATAGCGCCTTCACGTGTTTGGAGCCCGGCAAATGAAAGGGGATGCCCGTAGCGAGAATAAAGCTTGTGATTAGTGAATTAATTATGGCAACACATGATTTTAAAAATAAAAACAAATAAATAAATTTCCGGCGCTCCCTTTAATCTTAATTTCAAAATATTTTTTTTAATGACTTGTTTTGAAATTTCATTGAATACAAAGTGAATTCATTAATGATTATGGTAGGTTGTCGAAGCCCGGAGAACTTTCAACTGACGTATTTTTTCTATTAGAATACCATGGCATTCAATTTTTCAATCACCTGTCAAAGTGGCATTCTATTAGAAAATGGCATTCAAATGGAGAGTGCCATTCAAATAGAGAAAATACGGTATATAAGTAGTATATGTTACACTTTTAAGACAAAAATTTTTTCTTTTTTGTCTTAAAAGCGCACAAAAATTTTCTACAATAATTTTTCAATAGGTTAAGGGGTTTTAAAAATTAAATCAGCGTCGCTTAACTTGCCAGATCGGACGGGTTGGCGTATTTTCAACTCAGTATGATCGTACTTATTAATAAGTTAAATTTTTCATATGTTAAGAATTTACGTGAAAAAATGGTTGAAAAATAGATATTGAAATGGAAGTTTTAAAAGTTTTCAGAAAAACTAATTAAAGTGTTCAATTAACCACTAAAGGGTTTCCGAAATAAAGGCTACAGATTTTCTAATAAATCTAAAATGTTTAAGGTTTTCTTATTAACTAAAAAGTATATATTTTAAATTTTTGATATGAAAAAAGGTTACCAACAGGATCAAAAATATTTACTTGAAGTTTTTAAAAAGTAGGCAGCTATTCATATAAAATAAAGAATAAATAAGTGATATAAAATAAAGAAAATAAAATAAATAATTGAATTAATAGAATTAATTTAATTAATAAAATTAATTTTGGTTTAATAGAATTAAATAATAAAATTTTTATTTAATTACAAAATTAATTTAATTAATGAAATTAATAGTATTAGTGAAAAAATTTAATTAGAAAATTTATTTAAAAAAATAAAAATTTAAATATTTATTTAATAGAATAAAAGAGAAATTAAGAAATTTATTTAAAAAATAAAAATATAAATGAAATATTTATTTTATTAACAAAAAACCAAAAGGCTATTCAATATGTAAAGGAAAATTGTTAGTGAAACGATTGTGCAGTAAGTGTGTGTGTATATAATGGAAAGGGTGATTGGGCACAAAAAGTGAAAAGGGGGGAGATCGGCTTTCATTAATCACTCACCCATTCATTTCTACACTCCCACTAAAACTCATTACACACTATTTTTATAAATTAAGGAAAAAATAAAAAATTTTTCCATTACATATTTAGATTAAATTTTGGCATAGAGTGCAAGTGTGCAGTAAGTGTGTGTGTATATAATGGAAAGGGTGATTGGGCACAAAATGTGAAAAGGGGGGAGATCGGCTTTCATTAATCACGCTCCCACTCATTTCTACACTCCCACTAAACACTCATTACACACTATTTTTAGAAATTAATGGAAAAAATAAAAAATTTTCACTACATATTGAGATTAACTTTTGGCCTATTTAAAAATAAAATAGTATTTAAGCAGTTAATTTTTCTTTTACTTTACTAAATAAATATTTAAAGTTTTATTTTTTTAAATAAAATTTTTAATTTCTTGTTTCTTTTTTGCAAATAAAATTTTTAATTTATGTTTTTATTACATAAAGTTTCCAATTAAATTTTTTCACTAATACTATTAATTTCATTAATTAAATTAATTTTGTAATTAAATAAAAATTTTATTATTTAATTCTATTAAACCAAAATTAATTTTATTAATTAAATTAATTCTATTAGTTCAATTATTTATTTCATTTTCTTTATTTTAAATCAAGTATTTATTTTTTATTTTATATATTTATTACTTTTTTGCAACTACAAAACATTTTCTTCTCAAATGTAAATATTAATTGGGGGGCCAGAATTGGAGGATATTAATCCCAGGGCCCTCGTGAAAATAATTTGTTCAGGGCTTTGTATGTAGTTTAAAAATTTGGTGAAAATTTTTAAAATTTATTTTCAAAGTACAGGGCCTGAATTTTTGATGAGCATTGCTTATTTGGATCCAGTTATTATTTATGACTGTTCAAAAATTGGATTTTTGTCTTTTGAAGGGGGGGGGGGGGTTTCCAAAAATAAATTTTCGATCCTTTTGTTGATTAAAAAGCTAATTTTAAAAATTACCACGTCTTTTTCTTTGCTCAATGACAGAAAGGGCGAGTATATGTTTGAGATTTCTTATT